ATTTAAATATTGGTAAAGAAAGTCTCGTTAGGGCATAGTTTCATATATTATAGCACATAGCTAAATAATTATGTAAACATGCAGGTGTTTGAAAGTATGTATTATAGTTTGCTCTAAATCAAGGCAAGGGTAATATATAGTGAAGCGATAAATTTCTTGATATTTTTAATAATTTACATATTTGAGATTAATTCTTAACATAAAACTATAATTTTTTTTAAATCTATTTTCAAAAGAAATTATCTCTGCTTTACTCAGTGTATGCATTTTGTCAATAATTGTTCTGCCCAGGCCTTCCTTAAAAATCATATCTGTTCCTACCACTCTGAAATTGCACTATTCAAGGTTAAAGATAAACTACTTATCATCAGATCTCCTACTTTTTTCTCATACGTCATGATTTCTTCTAATATTTTTCTTTTGATTTCCATTAACCTGCTCTTAATGATAGCTCACGCCTGTAATCCCAGCATTTTGGGAGGTTGAGGTGGGCGGATCACCCAAGGCCAGGAATCTGCAAGCAGTAAATAATAAAATATCTTAATGAAATCTAAGCAAGTGTCCGGGCACAGTGGCTCACGCCTGTAATTCCAGCACTTTGAAAGGTGAACACAGGCAGATCATGAGGTCAGGAGATCAAAACAAGCCTTATCAACATGGTGAAACCTGGTCTCTACTAAAAATACATTAATTAGCTGGATGTAGTGGCACACGCCTGTAATCGCATCTACTTGGGAGGCTGAGGCAGGAGAATCACTTGAACCCAGGAAGTGAAGGTTGCAGTGAGCCGAGATCACGCTACTGTACTCCAACCTGGGCGACAGAGCAAGACTCCATCTCCAAAAAAAAAGAGAAATCTAAGCAAGCTTATATGGTAATGTTTTCAGAATTTATGTATTTATTTAACAAGCACAGTATGCTTACTGTGTACATGACACTGTTCGGACATATAGAGAAATAGGAGGTTTCAACTTTCAAAGAGCATATAAGGTACTTGGTTCATAGTTAAGTGACAATTATGATGGTATGACTGTCTCAATAAGTAATATAGATATTAAATGACATGAGACTTATTCTCTGCATTTTTAGTTCCTTGTTACATAAGATGTTATTGGTATATGTTTTTATTAAGATGAATTAAAGTTAATCAAGATGAATTCATGTGACTGGAGATGCATATTGAAAGATCGGTAGGATTTAGGTAGGAAAGTGCAGGTTAATGGAAATCAAAAGAAAAATATTATAAGAAATCATGACCTATGAGAAAAAAGTAGATTTGATGATCAATAGTTTATTTTTTAACCTTCAATAGTACAGTTTCAGAGAGTGGTGGGAACAGATAATGATTTTTAAGGAAGGCTTGGGCAGAACAATTGTTGAGAAAATGGATACACTGAGTAAAATGGAGATAATGTCTTTGAAAATAGATTTACATGTCTCCATTTTAGGATTTAATTTTGTAAAGTGGTGAATATGGAATGCATATGAAAGCTTTATAAAAATATTCAAATATAAACTTTAGAAAAGTATTCAACATAAACCTTACAAAATATTTTTAGATGGAAGCTATAAAAAGCTTTTTCTGTTATGCCATTTCTATAAATTACTGTAAATTTGCAGATACTAAAATTAGTGGAAAAGTTTCTACCTTATTGAAAAAAGAATGTTCATCTATATCGACTGTTCTGAGTGAGTTAAATATTCTATGGATTAAAGATGCACATATCAGTGGTCTTTAGGTGGGGCTTTAAAGTGACCAGCATCTTGTTTTTGATCCTCATTTCAGGAATGTATGTCAATGTGTTGTGGAAATAATTTGAGATGAAGCTTGCAGGCTGGTGCGGTGGCTCATGTCTATAATCCCAGCACTTTGGGAGGTTGAGGTGGGTGGATCACCTGAGGCCAGGAGTTTGCAACCAACCTGGCCAACATGGGGAACTCCTTCTCTACTAAAAGTACAAAAATTAGCCTAATGTGGTGGTGCACGCCTATAATCCCAACTGTTCTCGTAGCTGAGACAACAAGAATCGCTTGAATCTGGGAGGTAAAGGTTGCCGTGAGCCAAGATCGCACCAGTGCACTGCAGCCTCTGCAACAGAGTGAAACTCTGTCCCAAAAAAAAGATAAAGTTTGCAAATTCTTTCTTAGAAGATAATGTAGATGATACCTTTATAGTTACGTTAACAAGCACAGTATAACAACAATAAAAATATTAAAGCATCTGTTCTTCACTGTTTACTGAGTGCCAAGCACTAACATATTATCATTTAAAACAACTATGTGAGATTTAGTGATAATATTCCCTTTTTACAGATGAAAATATGAAAAATAGCTTAAGTGACCTGCCTTGAGGTTACATACTTAGTTATCAGAAGAGCTTGGATTTGAACCCACTTATACCTCATTCCAAAGCTCCGTTCTTAAATACTTTGCTTACTTTTAGTGTGCATCAGAATCAGCTATGCAGTTTTTTAAAAAATGCAAATGCCAGGACCACATTCTAGGTTTTTGAATAAGAATCTTCAGGCTTGAGCTTTGGACACCTGTACATTCTTTTACATGATTCCTGGGTGTATTGTAGTTAAAATAAGAGGAAGAAGAGGAATAAGGAAGTAATATTAGGCAACATTTAGGGGAACGTATATGCCAGGCATGTTCTAAAATTAGATCGTTTTCTATGTTATTGTCTTCATTTTTTAGGTTTAAAAAATAAAAGCATTCAGTAGAGGTACATAGGTTACCCAAGGTTATATAGCTATTAAGCAGTAGAGTTGAGATGGGATCTCAGACAGTTAAAACTTCACAGACATCATCTTAACCGCTATAGCATATTCTCCCTAGAATCATGAACTTTTCTACCACTAAAATTTTTAGGGAGTCTGCCACATCACATGCAGGAAGGGTCACCCTGACCATATTCATCTTAAAACCCCAATATAATTGGTTCACTGGCTTCTGCTAGAAAGGAAGATATTATCACATATCTCTCTGTTAGACTTTTGTCAGCACTATAAAAATGTTAAGAATATAGAATCATAAAAATATTTTCTTTAAAAATTAAATTATTATCTTTATTTTCTATCTATTTATTTATTTTACTTTAAGTTCTGGGGTACATGTGCGGATTGTGCAGGATTGTTGCGTAGGTATGCACATGCCATGGTGGTTTGCTGCATCCATCCTCCCATCATCTACATGAGGTATTTCTCCTGTTATCCTTCCCCAATACCTCCACCCCTGTTATCCCTCCCCTAGTTCCCCCACCCCCCAACAGGCCCCGGTGTGTGATGTTCCCCTTCCTGTGTCCATGTGTTCTCATTGTTCAACACCCAGTTATGAATGAGAACATGCAGTGTTTAATTTTCTGTTCTTGTGTCAGTTTGCTGAGAATGATGGTTTCCAGCTTTATCCATGTCCTTGACAAGGACATGAACTCATCCTTTTTTATGGTTGCATAGTAGTCCTTGGTGTATATGTGCCACATTCTCTTTACCCAGTCTATCATTGGTGGGCATTTGGATTGGTTCCAAGTCTTTGCTGTTGTGAACAGTGCTGCAGTAAACATACGTGTGCATAAGGCTTTATAATTGAAGGATTTATCATCTTTTGGGTATATTCCCAGTAATGGTATTGCTGGGTCAAATGGTATTTCTAGTTCTAGACCCCTGAGGAATCGCCATACTGTCTTCCACTATGTTTGAACTAATTTACACTCCCACCAACAGTGTAAAAGTGTCCCTATTTTTCCACACCCTCTCCAGCATCTGTTGTCTCTAGAATTTTTAATGATTGCCATTCTTACTCAATGTGGTTTTGATTTGCATTTCTCTAATGACCAGTGATCATGAGCATTTTTTCAATGTTTGTTGGCTGCATAAATGTCTTCTTTTGAGAAGTGTCTGTTCGTATCCTTTGCCTACTTTTTGATGGAGCTGTTTGTATTTTTCTTGTAAATTTGTTTAAGTTCTTTGTAGATTTTGAGTATTAGCCCTTTGTCAGATGGGTAGATTGCAAAAATTTTTTCCCATTTTGTTGGTTGCCAGTTCACTCTAATGATAGTTTCTTTTGCTGTGCAGAAGATCTTAAGTTTAATTAGATCCCAGTTGTCTGTTTTGGCTTTTGTTGCCATTGCCTTTGGTGTTTTAGTCATGAAGTCCTTGCCTATGCCTATGTCCTCAATGGTATTGCCTAGGTTTTCTTCTAGTGTTTTTATAGTGTTAGGTCTTATGCTTAAATCTTTAATCCATCTGGAGTTAATTTTTGCTTTTTTATTCGGTTATCTTTTTTTAAATACATTATCTCTGTTTGAAATACCACACCCATCCACCAGAAAATACTCATGGCTTTCATCAGCTCAATTTGCATTTAAACATGTTTTATCACCTTCATTAAGATTTGATTAGAGGTAACTGCCCTTTGACCTTTTCTTAAACCATTCTTGTGACAAATGGACCAAGTACTCCTGTTTAGCCATATATAATGTACCCTGCTTCCCTTTCTGATTATTGATAATGTCAGGGACTATAGGAAACTATTTTGTCTTCGTGTCCTCTACTGTTCTATTAGTATCTGGACTGACAGCCTGATCGCTGCTGTACTCTTGATTTCATTTTTCTTTTCCCTTGTCTCTGTTGTCCCTTTTTTCCCCTACTTCTTGACATTCACACCTAAAGCCTGGTCATTTTAAGACTTTGCTGATAAGAATGCTTCTTTTCTTCTGGTCTGAAGACTAGCCATTCTACGTATCTAGTATAATTTTTGGATTCTCACACCTTCCCTAATAAAACATTCTCCTCGTAACCAAATTTTCAAATTAGGAGCTATTCTGGATATTTAAGGTTGGCAGGAAGGTTTGTCTTTGATAACCAAGATTTTGTTGTATTTATTAACTATGCACTAATCGTTTTAATTTCAATCATGCTCTTCAGAGTATTCTCAGTTTTATTCATAGTTTAATTACTCAAAATTCTCCTTATATTATCAATATATTTTCTCCCTAGGAACCATCTCTTTTTGCTGTTGCCAAATTGTTAGAAACTGGTTTAGTTAATATGCACCGAATAGAAATTCTGTGGAGACCTCTGACTGGCCATCTACTTGAGGTAAATTCTCTTTCTTAAATATATTTAATTATTTTATAAAGCCTTGCACACTGAACTGATGATTCTAGATAGCCATTTTAAAAATCATCATTAACTTTATTCCTCTTTTCCTGACCCTGCACTTATGTTTGTACATTTTATCAAGGACTAAAGCTGTTTTGTAATTTATTTGATGACGGAATTGGTTGCTTTTATTGGCTGAAAATGGGTGACATTTTAAAATGAGAAATATCAGTGAAATCAGCTGCTAGTTTGATACCCCTTTTATTATACACTCTCTTAATCCACCTCAGTTTCAGGTAGTTCTGAAACTTCAAGGCAGTTAGGGCATAGTAAACACTGCTCATTTATAGCCTTTGCTATCATCATGAGATAGCTTTTTTTCTTTTTTGAGATGGAGTGTTACTCTGTCATACAGGCTGGTGCACAGTGGCACGATCCCGCCTCACTGCACTCTCCACCTCCTGGGTTCAAGTGATTCTCTTGCCTCGCCTCCTGAGTAGCTAGGATTACAGGCACATACCACCACACCTGGCTAATTTTAGCATTTTTAGTAAAGATAGGATTTCACCATATTAGCCAGGCTGGTCTTGAACCTCAGGTGATCTGCCTGCCTCAGTCTCCCAAGTGCTTGGATTATAGGTGTGAGCCACTGCCCTTGGCCTTGATGATGAGATAGCTTTCTGCTAAGGGAAAAATGGTTTGGTATCACTAATTATAGATAGTGCTGGAGAGTTTTACCTGGATTTACATTGTCTTACATTCAGGTTGAGGTGATTCTGAATAGTTTCTGCTTAAAAACAACCTGCTTCTGCCAGTACATGTGTTTGTGTACAGTTTAGGTTTAGGTTACCATAGTCCTTTTATGTTATTTAGTAACCTAGGAAAGGTCTTATTCTTAGTAAGAAAAACAGGCTGACTTCAGTAGTTCACCCCCAAAATCCCAGCACTTTGTGACGCTGAGGTGGGAGGATTGCTTAAGCCCAGGAGTTCAAGACCAACCTAGGCAACATAGGGAGACACCATTTCTACAAAAAATTTAAAAAATTAGCTGGGCTTGATGGTATATGCTTGTAGTTCTAATTACTTGGAAGGCTAAATGGGGAGAATTGGTTAAACCCAGGAGGTTGAGTCTGCAGTGAGCCGTGATTGCGCCACTGCATTCCAGGCTGTGTAACAGAGTGAGAGAGCATGTCTCAAAAAAATAAATAAAATAAGAAAAACAGATGTACATGAACTTTCCCCCCATTTTATTGGGATTACTTTCATGAATGATTAAAGGGTTTATGCAGATTTCTTCATTATTGGATGGTCTCATCAAAGGGCAACCAATAAAATTTTTTGAATTTTGACATATTATTTGATTAATGAAATTAAATTAAGAACCTTGGTATTAGCTTGCTTCTTTTGTTCACCTTGATGATATATAATTTACTTTTATGAAATCCTTTCTTTTCTGTGAATTGTTTTAGTTTAATCTTTTTTCTTCTGTCTCTCTATTGCTTGCACTTGCCCTTATTCAGAAGGTAAGCTCACTTATATTTTGGGTATGATTTTTCTTTTAATGTTTATTGAATATTTAATACAACTTTTAAAATGTAAAATTAGGGCCGGGCGTGGTGGCTCAAGCCTGTAATCCCAGCACTTTGGGAGGCCGAGGCGGGCGGATCACGAGGTCAAGAGATCGAGGCCATCCTGGTCAACATGGTGAAACCCCGTCTCTACTAAAACTACAAAAAGAAATTAGCTGGGCATGGTGGTGCATGCCTGTAATCCCAGCTACTCAGGAGGCTGAGGCAGGAGAATTGCCTGAACCCAGGAGGCGGAGGTTGCGGTGAGCCGAGATCGCACCATTGCACTCCAGCCTGGGTAACAAGAGCGAAACTCCGTCTCAAAAAAAAAAAAAAAATGTAAAATTGATGTGTGACTTATAGCTGAAGTATACAAATTAAACTTTTAATTTTATATATCTTCAGGTCTGCCAGCATCCAAACTCTCGAATGAGAGAATGGGGAGCAGAAGCTTTAACTTCCCTTATTAAAGCAGGATTAACGTTTAACCATGATCCTCCACTTTCACAAAACCAGGTAATAAAAACCTTACTTTAAAAAAAAAACATAATATAAACTCTTCCTCCTCCATATGTGATTTTTTTCTTAATTTATCAAGTAGATGGTATCTAAGAGTGGGGTTTTTAACTTAATATTCTATTTTATATGTAGGCCCTGAATCTCTTACAGAAGGTTAAATTAAGGTTAAAGTAATTTAGGTTAAACTAAACTAAGTTAGTTTAACTAAGATTAAACTACAGAAGGTTAAACTAAACTAAGTTAAATTACCTAGAATTGGTCTCATAGTCATAAGTTTTCCTATTTATGCAGTGCCAAAGTGTTGTTTTGGAGCCTCTTTTGCTTAGGTCTTTACCTGTCTCTGTTTTTTTTTTCTCTCTCACTACCTTTACATAGGGAAAAAATAAGTGGCAGAAGAAACAAGCACAATGAAGTAGATTTTTATTTTAACATAATTTTAAATTATTTTTTACTTCCAGAGTTTACCTTTGTCATGAATTCTACGTCCTGACTTTCTTTATTATTTGTACCCGTTTTTTTTCTTTGAGACGAAGTCTCTCTCTGTCGCCCAGGCTGGAGTGCAGTGGCGTGATCTCGGCTCACTGCAACCTCTGCCTCCCGGGTTGAAGTGATTCTCCTGCCTCAGCCTCCTGAGTAGCTGGGATTACAGGTGTGCGCCACCATGGCTGGCTAATTTTTGTATTTTTAGTAGAGACGGGGTTTCACCATGTTGGTCAGGCTGGTCTCAAACTCCTGACCTTGAGATCCACCCGCCTTGGCCTCCCAAAGTACTGGGATTACAGGCGTGAACCACTGCGCCCAGCCTTGTACCCATTTTTTTTTTTTTTTTTTTGAGAGGGAGTTTCGCTCTTATTACCCAGGCTGGAGTGCAATGGTGCGATCTCGGCTCACCGCAACCTCCGCCTCCCGGGTTCAGGCAATTCTCCTGCCTCAGCCTCCTGAGTAGCTGGGATTACAGGCATGCACCACCATGCCCAGCTAATTTTTTGTATTTTTAGTAGAGACGGGGTTTCACCATGTTGACCAAGATGGTCTTGATCTCTTGACCTCGTGATCCACCCGCCTCGGCCTCCCAAAGTGCTGGGATTACAGGCTTGAGCCACCGCGCCCGGCCCTGTACCCATTTTTTAAAAAGCCTACCGAAGTTTTATTGTTTCAGGAGTGAGTAGGAACAACACATTTATTTATTTTTTAACTTTTTAAATAAAAATATGGAGTACATCACAAATTTTCATGGGGGCTGTGCAAATCTCTGTATCATTCCAATTTTAGTATATGTACTACTGAAGCAAGAACAGAATGAGGCATTTAGTAACCGTTCCAATTGCCCTCATCATCTTACTGTATCATAATTGTGTTCCAGAAATTCACTGAACACATAATTGTTGAATACGGCTCTTGGAATAGGATGATGAACAAGACAGAAAAGATAAAGCTTACAGAGCTTATATTTTAGTGATTTCATATGTTCTTCTGAAACAATTTGAATTAAAAAAAAAAAAAACACGCTTTTTTATTTATTTTGATATCCTCAACGTCCAGCTTAATAATACTTGGTGCATAGTGAAAGCTTAGAAATGTTTATTCAGGGAATGAACCAAATAAATGAATTCCCTGGAGAAAAGAAAGTTAAGAATGAAGCAAGGGTTTTCAGATGCTGAAAGGGATAGACAGAATGCTTTTTTTTTTAAACTTTCCGACAAATTTCTTGGTTTTATGTCATCTTTGTTAGTATCTGCTACATTTATTCGTTTTTTTAGAAGTATAGCTTCTACTACTTTATCACACTTGAGAATTTTAAATTTAAATACATATAATATACATTAATAAAGTAAACAAAAGTTCATTTTAGAAATTGGGAATTGATTTCCTCTCTCCAAATATAGCTAGAGATATATTTCCTGTAGTGAAGTTCATTTCTGTTATTTATGCGTTTAAAATTAGTATCTTTTAAAGTAAGATAATTACCCATTTGCCTAAAATCTAACATCTTGAAAGTTTTTTTCTCATATTTAAAAATAGAGATAGATTTGCCTTTAATAATTACTGTTGAATAAATGATATTTGATGTTTATTTTAGTAGAATAATTCTGAACAGGCGTGGTGGCTCACGCCTGTAATCTCAGCACCTTGGGAAACCAAGGTGGGCAGATCACCTGAGGTCAGGAGTTCAAGACCAGCCTGGCCAATGTGGTGAAACCCTGTCTCTACTAAAAATACAAAAATTAGCCAGGGATGGTGGTGCATGCCTGTAATCCCAGCTACTCAGGAGGCTGAGGCAGGAGGATCACTTGAACCAAGGAGGCGGAGGTTGCAGTGAGCTGAGATTGCGCCACTGTACTCCAGTCTCCTAGGTGACAGAACAAGACTCCATCTAAAAAAAAAAAAAAAAAAAAAATTCTATTTACCGTGGTAGTCTGAATGGAGATACATTTAATGAATTTAAACTTAAAAAGCAATAGAAATGTCTTCTTGTATTTTTTGGATTTCTCTTTCTAATTAGTTTCTTGTCCCCTTTTCAGAGGCTGCAGTTGCTTTTACTGAATCCACTAAAGGAGATGTCCAATATTAATCATCCAGATATTCGACTCAAGCAGTTAGAATGTGTGTTGCAGATTCTGCAGAGTCAGGGAGACAGTCTTGGGCCTGGATGGCCATTAGTGCTTGGAGTCATGGGAGCAATCAGAAATGATCAAGGGTAAGTATGTAAAATTATTTGAGAAAAAAATATGAAAAATAAAATATAAATAAAATTAACATAAAAAATGATAGAGGTAGAAAAGGACTCCATCCTAATTTTTTTAATGTTCTTGCTGCTTAAGGCTAAGATCTATAAGAGTTTTGCTTAACTCTACCCCTAAGTGGTTATAGAGAATTTCTAGAGATCACTTTTGGTTTGGAAGGATGAAAAAATTGCTGTTTATTTGACATTCATGCAAGATTACATGATTCTTACTTATGCTAAGATACATGAAACAATCTAACAAATTTTGTAACACATCCAAAGATGGGGTAGTTTTGTTTTGTTAAAATAAATACATTGTTTGATAAGATGTGAAACGGCATTTAGGGCTTGACCTCACTATGTATATTAGACAGAAATTGCTTTAAAGTGAGCTTTTCATTAATTTTTGATTTATTAAACATTTATTCTGTGCTTAGTATATTACAATGCTTGATAGTTATTCTGATTACATAGGTAAGTAGCTCCTGCCCTAGACATAGAATCCTAGTAAGAAAGTATAGTTGCATGCCCCCTAACATTTCAGTCCACAACAGGCCACATATATGATGGAGGTCCCATAAGATTTTGATACCCTTTTTTTACTGTACCCTTTCTATGTTTAGATATGCTTCAGTACATAAATACTTACATCGTGTTACAATTGCTTACACTATTCAGGGCAGTAGCAAGCTAAGCTGTACAGGTTTGTAGCTCAGGAGCAATAAGCTATGACATACAGCCCAAGTGTGTAGTAGGTTCTGTCATCTAGATTTGTGTCAGTATGCTCTGTGATGTTCATACAGCGACAGAATCGCTTAATGACACATTTCTCAGAACGTATCCTTGTCAGTAAGCAATACATGACTGTAGTTTGTTATGCCACAAAATAAGTAACCTTAGCAGGAGGAGGACAGAGCCAAAATTATGAAGGAGATCTTATATGCTTATATAAATGTTTTGAATGTATCCTGAATACAGTTGAAAGACATTTTGGGATTCTAAGCAGAGGAGTGATATAATCACATATGAATATGATAGATATAACTGTGACAGCATCATGGAGGGGAGGGTGGGAAATGAGAATGCCTACGAGTGCTCACTAGAAATAGGAGATAGATTTGAACTACTTAACAGATAGACTGTCGGGGCAAAGGAGAAAATAGCAATCAGGAATGTCTTCCAGATTTCTGACTTAGGCAGTTTAGTGGGGGATGGTAATATCATTAACTAAATAGGAAGAACAGATTTGGAGAGGACATATGGACTTGTTTAACTTTTGGGGTAGGAGATTGCAGTGGAGAGATTCAGCAGACATTGGATATATTTTTCTGTAATTCTGTAGTAACACACTGTCTTGTTTTGATGACTAGTTAAGGAGTTGTAGGTGACCAAGATGCTTGAGACTATTATGGAAAGTTAATTTTTCTTAAATGTTTATAGTAATAAAATTCTTTTAAGCACTTCAAAATATTGAGATGATTAAATTGAAAAGAGATCAGCTTACATCAAGCTTAAGTGTCTTCTCCCAACCTATAATGTGGTATATTACATAGGGCATTGTAGTAAGGATATAATGAATTAATAGGTGTAAAACACTTGGAAAGTATGTGACATACTAAGCATTCAGAGTATTAGCAATTACCTTTACCATTTTCATTATTGTTTTTACCATCAGAATTTTTCTCCAAAACCAAATAGTTGTTGTTATCTTTATTTGAAATTCAAAATTTACTCTTTTCTCACAGACTGGATGTGGGTTTTATTTTCTTTGGAGATTTAAATAAGATGTAGTATAGATATAAAAGAATAAGGAGCTCTTTTTCAGTAAATTGTGTGTATTTACATGTACTGGGCACTTTACTAGATACCAGCGATACAGTGAGGAGAAAAGTAACTGGCTAACTTCCCATTCTCATTTATTGCCTACTTTTCTTTTTTTTTAGCTAGTTGGTATGAAATACAAATAGAAATAATATGATGTTAATACTTTATTTTTTTAATTTGTTTTTATCTCTTATTACCTGCAAGCTTCTTTGTTTTTGTTAATTTAAGTAAGTGTATCTATTTTACATTTATGTAAATGTTAAAATACTTTATGATCTATATGAGGAAAGAGTTTCTTGCTTAAATTCTAAAATAAAATTTACTTCATTCAAGTTATTATAAGATAGGTATTTTTACACATTTCTTTTAAATGCATAATTAAGGCTGGTTGTGGTAGCTCATGGCCTGTAATCGTAAATGTAAACTTTGGGAGGCCAAGGCAGGAGGATCACTTGAGCCCAGGAAATTGAGACCAGCCAAGGCAACATAGTGGGACCCTGTTTCCACACACACCAAAAAAGGCATGGTGTGCATCTGTAGTCCCAGCTACTGGGGAAGCTGAGGTGGGAGGAGCATATGATCACGGGAGGTTGAGAGTGAGGCATGATTGCACCACTGCACTCCAACCTAAGTGACGGAGTAAGACCTTGTCTCAAAAATAAATAAATTAATTAAATAATTGCACCTGTATACATTTCTTTTGTTTTCAGAGAATCCTTGATACGAACTGCATTCCAGTGTCTTCAGTTGGTTGTGACAGATTTTCTGCCAACAATGCCTTGTACTTGCCTACAAATAGTTGTAGATGTTGCAGGTAGCTTTGGTCTCCATAACCAAGAACTTAATATTAGTTTAACTTCAATAGGTTTATTGGTAAGTATCATTGTCCTTAGAATATAATATAATTTAGAAATCATTGTTATTCAGTTGGGAGTGAATGTTAAGCAAATATATAAATATAAATATATATATTTAATGTGAACCAGTTGCATTAGTCTCTGACAAGAAAATCAGCCTGTAATTTGAAGCCTTGAAGCCAAGCATTGACTTTTTATCTTTAGCCGTGAAAGTCCTACATGACATCTTCCAGTAGAAGGTTGTTTCAGGCTGTGTGTGGTAGCTAATGCCTATAATCCCAGCACTTTGAGAGGCTGAGGTGGGAGGATTGCTGAGGCCAGGAGTTTGAGACCAGCCTGGGTAATAAAGTGAGACCCCTCATCTCTACTAAAAATTAGCTGTGTATGGTGGTGTGTGCCTGGAGTCTTAGCTACATGGGAGGATTGCTTGAGCCTACGACTTGGAGACTGCAGTGAGTTATGATCATACCACTGCACCCCAGGCTTGGCAACAGAGCCAGACCTTGTCTCTTTTAAAAAAGTAAAATAAGAAGGTTGTTTTGTCTACACTGAAAATCTGTTGATCAGTGTAGTCACCTTCATCAGTGATCTTAGGTAGATCTGGATAACCTGCCACAGCTTCTACATCAGCACTTGCTGCTTCACCTTGTAGTAGGTTATGGTGATAATGCTTTCCTTAAACCCCTGAACAAGCCCCTGCTAGCTTCAGACTTTTCATCTGCAGATTCTTCACCTTGCTCAGCCTTTATAGAATTGAGGAGAGTTAGGGCCTTGCTCTGGATTAGACTTTGGCTTAAGCGAATCTTGTGGCTGGATTGACCTTCTGTTCAGACAACTAAAACTTTCTTGATATCATCAGTAAGGCTGGTGTACTTTTTAATCATTTGTTTGTCCTTTAGAGTAACACTTTTTGTTTCCTTCAATAACTTACCCTGTGCATTCACAACTTGACTCACTGGCACAAGAGGCCTAGCTTTGGCCTGTCTTGGCTTTCAACATACCTTCCTCACTTAGCTTAATTATTACTAGCTTTTGATTAAAAGTGAGAGAAATGCAACTCTTCCTTTCACTTGAACACTTATAGGTCATTGTAGGGTTATTAACTGGCCTAACTTCACTGTTGTACCTCAAGGAATAGCGAAGCCTGAGAAGAAATAAAAAGATGAGGAAACAACCAGATGATGAAACAGTCAGAAAACTCACATTAAGTTTGCCGTCTTACATAGGTGCGGCTGTGTGCCCCAAAATAGTTACAATAGTTGTGTCGAAGATCACTGATCATAGATCACCATAACAGACACAATAATAATTAAAAGCTTTGAAATATTACAAGTATTACTAAAATGTGACACAGAAACACAGTTGATAACAAGCTGCTTGAAAAAAAATGGCACCAACACACTTGTTCAATGCAGGGTTGCCACAAACCTTCAACTTATAAAAATTGCAATTATCTGTGAAGCACAATAAAGTGCAATAAAACAAGGTATCCCTATAATGAAGGTTAGAGAATTGTTAACATTACATGAAATAAACATGCACAGAATTGTTTTCAATATATATTTAAAGGCACTTATTTAGAATCTTTTAAGTGTATGTTAAAACTCAGCAGTTTTATAAATTTGAACTTTTAAATTTTCCTCACAAGCTAGATAAGTTACTACATTCAGCTCTTCCTACGTTTAGCTCTCAATTTTTGTGGCTTCTGTATCTGTAGATTCAACCAAGTATAAATAGAAAAAGAATTTTTTTAAAAGGATAGTCGTGCCTGTGCTAAACATGTACAGTCTTTCTTGTCAGTATTACCTAAACAATACAGTATAACAGCTATTTAGATAGCATTTACCTTAGGTATTAAAAGTTATCTAGTGATTACTTAAAGTATATGGGAGGATGTGTGTAGGCTATATGCAAATACTACACGATTTTATATAAGGGACTTGGGGATTTGTGGATTTGGATATGGGGTGGGAGGTCCTGAAACCAATCCCCCATGGATACTGAGGGACAACTATACTTTACTATTACTATTATTTTTCCCATTTTTACATGGGAAAGAATGTAAGCATGTTGCATATATAATTGCTCCCAAAGAGTGGGTGGCTAGTTCAGCAAAAATTACTGCTGGATAGCACCTCTTTTATTTTACATTGATGTTTGCAGTACTGGATTCTCTACATTTTAACCATTGGCATAATTATTATTAATTTGTACTGTGGTTGACAGTGAATTATAGAATATGTTTAGAAATAGTAATTGCTGTTTACTTGTATGAAATTACAAACTTATTAAACAATATTAAGGAATTGTTATATCTAGGTGGTAGATATATCAATATGTTCAAGTTCATTATACAATTCTTGGTTTTTTGTACGTTCTTGATATTTTTTATAATAAAAAAGTAAAAAAATAAATGTTAGCAGAAGATTGTTTCTCCACTTTCTCCTGAAATCATGTAGAGATGCTGACAGAGGAAGAGGTGTTTCACTGAACTTAGTCTACTAGGAAAGAGATTTTTGAAGTAATCGTTTTAAAGTTTTACTGTGAAAGGTAAAGCAACTACATGTTGCATAGTTATGTGTTTAAAAGGAAACCTTGAATAAACTAATATTTTTTTACTTTGCTTTTTAGTGGAATATTTCAGATTATTTTTTCCAACGAGGGGAAACTATTGAAAAAGAACTAAATAAGGAAGAGGCATTACAGCAAAAGCAGGCAGAAGAGAAAGGAGTTGTTTTAAATCGGCCTTTCCACCCTGCACCACCATTTGATTGCTTGTGGTTATGTCTTTATGCAAAACTGGGTGAACTATGCGTGGATCCTCGTCCTGCTGTCAGGAAGAGTGCAGGGCAAACTCTGTTTTCTACAATTGGTGCACATGGAACTTTATTACAGCATTCAACCTGGCACACTGTTATTTGGAAGGTATTGTAAAATAGATTGGACTATCAGCTTTTAATGAGACATGATTTTATATTAATACTTTTTCATTTAAACTTGTTTCTTTTAATTTTTAAAGAATTTCCATGCATTTGTGTATTTGACAAAACAGTAAATGTTAACTGTCATGTTGTAAATTGTACCTCACACAGAGCAAATTAAATATTAACAGCCTTATCTCTGTTTCTGTTCTCATCTCTTATTGTCACTCTCTTGATTTCTGCCTTTGTCTCTCTTTTTCCCCCATTTTCTCAAATGATAAAAACTAGGAGTTACTAAACCACAGAGGATAATCAATCCCTTACAATAGAGTGGAAAGCTTTTAGGGGTTTTGTTTGTTTTACTTTTGAGGTCTACTTACAGATATGTAATTTAAATATAATCAAAAGATAGTTTTATAAACAGACGAATATTAATAGCAATGAAATTTACTTGCAGACTCCCCAAATAAAAGTAACCTCCAAATGGTATATTGTACATGTAATGTTTATTCATTAAATCACATTTTCAGTTTTTCTTCTTTTGAAACATCCTAATAAAATCAGCAGCTTATTAGTAATCATTTCCTCTTTGCTAAAAGTCTCTTTTTTGTTCCATTTGTTCCATTATGATAGAATTCTGTTTATAATCCTTTCACTTGCTTTTGTGAGTTTTTCAAATTAATAGACCCCAAAATGCCTTCTTAAAAAATTAATAGGCCAGGCATTGTGGCTCACGCCTGTAATAACCCCAGCACTTTGGGAGGCTGAGGCAGGAGGATCACCTGAGGTCAGGGATTTAAGACCAACCTGGCCAATACGGTGAAACCCATATCTACTAAAATTTTTTAAAAATTAGCTGGGTGTGGTGGTGCACTCCTATAATGCCAGCTACTTGGGAAGCTGAGGTACGAGAATCTCTTGAACCTGCAAGGTGGAGGATGTAGTGTGCTAAGATCATGTCACTGCACGCCAGCCTGGGTGACAGAGTGAACTGTCTCAAATATATGTAGATAATAACACTATATGGTCCGAAATAAAATAATCCAAAGCCCTGTTTTCTTTTTTCACTTTTTAATTTTTATTTTTTAAAGTAACAAAATTATGTGTATTATAGTAAAAGCCCTCCTTCCTTCTGTCTTATATTTCAATTCCATCCCATAGTTCCTCCTGAGATCACAGACATGCTTAATTCTCCCTTACAGTTTGTTTTTAATCTAATACTTTTCTGATTCTTATTTTCTTTTCAAGCAACTTCATTTTTTATCTTTTTGCTACCTAATTGTTAATGATTTTTTTTCTCACACTCCTTGCATTGTCTTATCTTCTGTAATTCATTTCCAGATTATTCTACTTAAGTCTCTTAAACATTAGAGTGTAACAGAATCACCTTGAAGACTTGTTAAAGCATAGATTGCTGAGCCAGTGTTGTCTGCTCTCCCTGAGCCTGAGTTTCTGATTATTCTGGCCTGGAGTGAGGCCTGAGAATTTCCATTTCTATCAAGTTCCTGGGTGGTATTTGATGTTGCTGGTATTAGTTCAGAGACCACACTCTGAGAACACAGAAATTGTTCATATCCTACTGGTGGTCTTTTTTGTGTGTGTGAGATGGGGTCTTGCTCTGTCACCCAGGCTTGAGTGCAGTGGTCAGATTATAGCACACTACAACCTTGACCTGCTGGGCTCAAGTGATCCTCCCACATCAGCCTCTTGAATAGCTGGGACTATAGGCTCACACTACCAGGCCCAGCTAATTTAAAAACTTTTTTTTTGTAGAGACAGTCTCACTATGTTGCTCTGGCTGTTCTTAAACTCCAGACTTCAAGCAATCCTCCTCACTTTGGCCTTCCAAAGCACTGGGATTACAGGCACGAGCCATCTCTGATAATTGTACTTTTGTCCTGGACTCCTCTCCTTAGCTTTGTGCGTTGCTTATACATTACCCCATAGATCCTCCATTGATACCTCAACAAGTCTTATATTTTATCCAGTTAATTTTAATTTCTTTTTTTGAGACAGGATCTCACTCCGTTGCCCAGGCTGGAGTACAGTGGCATGATCAAAGCTCACTGCCACCTCAACCTTCCCTGGGGGCTCAGGTGATCGTCTCACCTCAGCCTTCCAAGTAGCTGGACTACAGATGTATACCACAACATTTGGCTAATTTTAGTAATTTTTTTACATAATTATTTATTTTTTTTTTTTTTGTAGGGATTGGGCTTCACCATTTTTGCACAGGCTGGTCTTGAACTCCTGGGCTCAAGCAATCTGCCCACCTTGGTCTCCCAAAGTGCCAGGACTACAGATGGGAGCCACTGTGCCCAGCCTTAATTTTTTGTATTCCATGATAAACTTAAGAATGTATAGTTAAGGCCTGGCACTGTAGCTCACACCTGTAATCCCAGCACTTTGGGAGGCCAAGGCGAGTGGAGCACCTCAGATCAGGAGTTTGAGACCAGCCTGGCCAACATGATGAAACTTTGTCTCTACTAAAAATACAAAAATTAGCTGGGCATGCTGGCAGGCTTCTGTAATCCCAGCTACTCAGGAGTCTGAGACAGGAGAGTCACTTGAACCCAAGAGGTGGAGGTTGCAGTGAGCTGAGATCCCACCAGTGCTCTCTCCAGGCTGGGTGACAGAGCGAGGCTTCTTCTTAAAAAAAAAAAAAGTGTATAATTACCTCTGTTGGTCAATTCCCTCCAATATGTAGAGATTGATAAGATTGTCAAGTATGTTTTTGTAACACTTTCTAGATTCCTATGCTGTTGCTCCTATGCTGTTACTTAAGCTATATTATCAATGCTTTTTATATGACGTTTTTATAAATATTTAGGTACTCTTTCATCTACTGGACAGAGTTCGAGAGTCTTCTACCACTGCAGACAAAGAAAAGATTGAGTCTGGAGGTGGCAATATTCTCATTCATCATTCAAGGGACACAGCAGAAAAGCAGTGGGCTGAGACATGGGTATTAACGTTGGCTGGAGTAGCAAGAATCTTCAACACTAGAAGATATTTGCTGCAACCTTTAGGTATACATACTTTTTTTTCTGGTTATACAAGTAATTAATGTTAAAGGAAATTTGGAAAATACAATTATTTTAGAGTTCATATACAATGCTACTACCTAAGAATAATCGATCTTAACTTGGTCTTTATGTGTGGGGTATGTGTAAGCATGTGTGTTTCCATTCATTTCATTGATAAATTATTTAATGTGTACCTACTGTGGTCTAGCCTCTAGGGAATACAATGAAAGGCAAAATACACATCGTTTTTGCTATCATGGGCATGAAGGAGTAGCCATAATTACATAAATAAAGGCAAAATTGCTACAGTGACATGTTGCAAAGGAATGGTACATTGTGAGCTTCAATAGGTACTTGACCTGGCCAGTGAGTTCCACACGGGCTCTGATAAAGCTATAGTTTTCCTGAGATCTGAAGGGTAAGTAGTTCATCAGGCAAGGGTAAGATGAAGTGTGGAGAGCCTTATAGTCAATGAGAGAATGTAAAAAAGACAGGAGAAGATTGAGAAAAAGAGATGGTAGACCCTAGCATGTTTAAAGGTCTAGAATGAAGAGAATAAGAGTTTGATTCTCAACAAGATTGAGAGGTAGGAAAAGGCCATATCATCCAGATCATGTACAGTGTGTTAGGAGAAAGTTAGGAGGCTAGGCAGGGTGGCTCTTACCTATAATCTCAACACTTTGGGAGGCTGATGCATCAGGATAGCTTGAGCCCAGGAGTTTGAAACCAGCCTGAGCAATACAATGAGATTTTGTCTCTACAAAAATTAAAAAACAAAACAAAACAAAAAAAAACATCCGAATGTGGTGGTGTGCACCTGCAATCCCAGCTACTTGGGAGGCTGAGGTACAAGGCTTGCTTGAGCGTGGGATATGGAGATTTGTGCAGTTAGCCAAGATCGTCCCAGTGATCTCAAGCCTGGGTGTCAGAGTGAAAACCTTTTTCAAAAAAAAAAAAAAAAAAAAAGTTAGGACTTCATCCTAAGAACAATTACAAGATATAATTCATGATTTGACATGATCAGATATGCACTTCAAAAAGATCACGAAGTACATATTTTAGTGTGTATGTAGACTGGAATGGAAACAAGGAAAGATGGCAGGGTGTTGTTGGACTGGTTAGGAAGCTGTTGGTGGCGTATCAGTGATTCTTAAACAGGGCCTGTTCTACTCCCATTGGACATTTGGCAACTCTGGAGACATTTTTAGTTGTCGTAACTGGGGAAGGGGTGAGTGTTACTGCCTTCTGGGGAAGGTAGAGGCAAGGGTTAATGCTACACATCTTACAGTGCACATCTTACAATGCAATCTCCTATAACAAAGAATTATCCAACCAGAAGTGGCAGTAGTATCAAGACTGAGAAACCCAGTTGCTGAGTATGCTTTTAATTCTGGTGGTAGTGCTGGAGGTGGTAGAAAAGGTGAACAGAGATACTTTTGTACATAGTTATGAGCATGTTGTACGTATTATTTTATCTATTTTTTAAATCGTTTAGCTTTTTTTAAGCTTCTTTGTTTGAAAGCGCAAGCACATTTACTCATTCCGTAGGCATTTTTGTATGTTGTTCTTTATATGCACTTTTTCCCCGTTTTTCAAAAACAATTTATGCTATCTGATCCATTTTGCATGTTGGGTATATGTATTTTTAAATTTTGAGATTTTCCTCATGTAAAATTTACATACAGTGAAATGCACAAATTTTCATTGTACATTTGCAAAGTTTTAACAAAATAAGCATCGTTTTTAGTACCTTCATGATATTTATCTTAAAAGCTAAGAACTAATAGATTGAGATTTTTAAAAATGAAGATGTAGGATAGTTAATGTCTTTAATCATTTTTTTATAACTTGACTAAGAAATATTTGTTATTTTAGAATAAGTTTTATATTTTTAACATAACCACATGCAATATATAATTATATCTACTCTTTTAAGGAAGACTCCTGCTCTGACATAAAATACGTTAATAGAGGAATTGCAGAGGTTTTTCTCCCTAAATGGCACAGGATATTCTAAGTCTGATATTAGGTCACCATTCTGATAGGCAAATATAATGATACATGAGACTTGTAAACTGTGATGGCAACAGGCAGAAGTGTTTTAACCATTAGATAGTTTTAAAATGTAATTTGTCAAAACTCTTTGAACAGTTTACTTAAAATTCTGTGTTTTTTATTTTATGTAAATTTTACCTCAATTTTTTTTTTTGAGACAGAGTTTTGCTTTTGTTGCCCAGGCTGGAGTGCAGTGGTGCTATCTCAGCTCACCGCAACCTCTGCCTCCCAGGTTCAAGCAGTTCTCCTGGTTCAGCCTCCTGAGTAGCTGGGATTACAGGTGCCACCACGATGCCCAGCTAAGTTTTTGTATTTTTAATAGAGACAGGCTTCATCATGTTGACCAGGCTGGTCTAGAATTCCTGACCTCAGGTGATCCACATGCCTTGGACTCCCAAGGTGCAGGGATTACAGACGTGAGCCACTGCGACCAGCCCTCAATTTTTAATAAAAATAATATGGTGGGGGAGATGCATATAACTAGGCAGGTGTTACAGTTTGTCCAGAGTAGGCAGGTAGTACCTATTGTTTTATAGCAGACCTACTTCAAGCTTTTTTATTAACTGACTGCTTTCTCAGGTATTTGGGTTTGTCCCTTTTTTTAAAAAAAAAAACAAAAAAAAACTAGTCATTTATAGCCTTGCAAAATGAAAGTCCTTAAACCTTGATTATTTATTTTACATGTTTCATAGCCTGCTTATGTTATACTGCTTTGGAAAATATCAATTTTCCTAATTTTTTACATCATTTTAATGCAAGTATGTAGATAATAATCCATGTTATTAATGAAGCCATTAGGGTTGTTTGCTGTAGGAGAACGATCTGGCCAGACGTGGTAGCTCACGGCTGTAATCCCAGCCAGCCCTTTGGAAGGCCAAGGCAGGAGGATTGCTTGAGCCCAGCCTGGGCAAAATGGTAAAACCCTGTTTCTACAAAAAAATACAAAAATAAGCCACACATGGTGATGTGCATCTGTAGTCCCAGCTGCTCGGGAAGCTGAGATGGGAGGATTGGTTGAGCCCAGGAGTTCAAGACCAGACTGGACATCATAGAGAGACCCCATCTCTACAAAAAATAATTAAAAAATAAATTAGCCAGGCATGGTGGCATGTTACTGTGGTCCCAGCCACTTGGTAGGCTGAGGTGGGAGCCCAGTGAGCCATAATCATACCATACGACACTCCAGCCTGGGTAACAGAGTGAGATACCATCTCTTTAAAAAAGAAAGAAAGAAAAAGTTCTGCAGCTTTAAAATCATTTAAATATGAAAACTAAAGTATAAATTTAAGATTTATGGAATGTAAGATATTTAATATCTTAAATATTTAGACCAATAATAAAACATGTGTTATACTATCCTAAGTTACAACTTTCCCAATGATTATTTGATTAAGAATGAGAATATCTTACTTAATCACTAATAAAGGTAGATAGATAGACTGAAGATATTACTGAAATGCTTTTGTTTCAATCTCATTGATTTATTTTTCTATTCTACTTAGGCAGAAGTACTAGGAAATGGTATAAATATGTATAAGTACATACATATTTTTGGGTTAAAATTTTTTTTTTTATTTTAATAGCTTTCGGGGTACAAGTGGTTTTTGGTTACATCGATGAATTGTATAGTGGTGAAATCTGAGATTTTAATGTACCCATCAGCTACCTGTTTTGTTTTTAAGATTGAAACATTATTTGACACATCCGTCGTCCTCTTCTTGCTGCCCTTTGCCTATATCTGAAGCAATTTTTTTGCTACATTTCTCGGTTGTGATAATTTTAATTCCCATTGTTAGTACCTTAGTACTTAGTCATATATTTTCCAGTTCTGTGGGATTTTAAGCCGAAAAATTAAGCAAATATGCTTTCAAGTGTCTAATATTAAGAGAAAATTTGATCACTTTTATGATAATATTTTTTTTTCTCTTCCTAATATAGGAGATTTTTCAAGAGCTTGGGATGTTCTTCTTGACCATATACAATCAGCAGCACTCAGCAAAAACAATGAAGTGTCTCTGGCTGCTCTGAAAAGCTTCCAGGAAATTTTACAGATTGTGTCTCCTGCCAGAGACTTGGATAAGCCTGAGACACCACCTGTAGTTAATGTACCTGTGCCTGTTCTTATAGGGCCCATATCAGGCCCTGGCATGAGCAGGCCATTTGTAAGAACAGATTCCATTGGAGAAAGACTTGGAAGATATAGTAGCTCTGAGCCACCCATTGTTACTGATGAGCTTGAAGATTTGAATCTATGGTGGGCTGCGTGGAATACCTGGTATCGAATTGGATCTGAAAGTACTAAGCCTCCTATTACTTTTGATAAACTAACTTTTATTCCTAGCCAGCCTTTTCTTACAGCTTTAATTCAGATATTTCCAGCTCTCTACCAACACATAAAAACTGGTTTCAACATGGATGACTTGCAAAAGTTGGGAGTCATATTGCACAGTGCTGTTTCAGTCCCGATAAGTTCAGATGCATCCCCTTTTATTCTTCCATCTTATACCGAAGCAGTTTTGACAAGTTTACAGGAAGCTGTACTTACAGCTTTAGATGTTCTCCAAAAGGTAATATAATTTTAGTGGCTAAGTAATAATGCATATAGTTCTCTGAATTTTTTTTATTTTGCTATATATTCGGGGGGATACATTTTAGATAATCAAGATTGTTGTATATGTATACATTGGGATAAATTGAGGGTTGTCATGATCTAGGTATTTTGAAAACTTGTGGTTTTCTGCTATATTTTGAAAGGTAATTCATGTATATTTTGAATCTTAAAGAAGCTACCTGCATCCTCATGTTTCACTTGAACAGGATTTTTGGTTTGCCTATGCAAGTCTTCAAAAGAGGATATAATATTTGGAATAAATGTTTTAGTAAAGTACTTTTATGATTAGAAAATTAATAAGCAATGGGATTACATTAATTTTTTCATCTGTGCTTAAATTTAGCGCTGAAATTATTGAAAGCCTACATTAAAAAAGAATATATTTATAAAAAGTATTTTTCCCCAGTTTTTAAAGAGATTTATTTTTACTGTGTGTATTTTGTTATTACCAAAAAAAGTTTTCAGACAAACATCTAAAATTACTGAGCAAATTCAGATTAGCAAGCAAGACTGGATCAAATTCAAAGTGTTTTTTAGACTATCAAGAAAAATTGGTAGCACAATTTACAGCCATCAAAATGCTAAGCCAAAAAATGCCAACTGTGTAACCAGCCTGTCCAGGAAAGTGAAGACATTCTAGTAAGATTGGAGTAGATCTAGATTCTGATCACACATGTTGTCAGTAACCATTTGTATAGTGTAAATTAAATTTCTGATTAACCGATTACATGCTACCAAACTGAAATGATAAAAATTTTCACAGTGAGAATGGTGATATTTCTACTATACCATGATACCTCTTAATTACTTCTGGAAGAAGTTTAGCTGAGCAGCAATTCTTAATCTGTTTAACCCTAGTTGCGTTGTACAGGAAATGTGAAGAAACTAAAAATTTATGAGAGCCTGGCATTTAAAAAAATTCAGTGTAGGGGTATTGGTTTTCTACAATTAAAATATCCATTTTTATTTTCAGTAGGAAAGAAGAGAGAAAAGTAGCCTGTCAATAATTACTCCCCCCTGTCCCTTGGACATGCAGATAAGTTGCTTATAGACTGCAGGGGATGGAAGAGTTATCAGAAAAGAAGATAAGACATAGGCCTTTTGAGATGCCTGTAATCTGGTACTCTCATTCAGATCATTGATTCAGGTTTTTATATATGTGTATAGGATAAACAAGAAACAACGTTTTTGTTTTGTTTTGTTTTCAGAAACAAAGTATAAATTTTATTTTTAAAAAATTCTGCTTTAGCTGTGAGAAAAAAAGTAGAATCATTTATCCCAACTACTAGTAATTTGTTCTGAGCTTTTAATAGCTTTGAAAACAAAATATACCTTCAGTTTGAAACTTAGGAAGGGTTATTGTTGTTTATATTATTTTAAAATTATTAATGTTCACACTAGCCATTGTTGTATTGTATGATCACCTAAATGATGTTTCATAGATCTTGAATGTGAGATTTTTAATGGATCTCTAGTATCTCCTAACAGAAAAATATATATTTTATTATCAGAGTGTTTTTATCTTTTCTTCCACAGGTGTCACAACATTTTTGCACAAGCCAAATTTACTTGCTTTTGGACCTTATCCTTAAACTGTTATCCAGCAAAACATTCTGTTGGTTAAAAGCTGTTTTCTTTCCTAAGAGAAAAACTGATTTCTGATATTATGTATTCTTTCTAAAGAGGAGCATTTATGTTGTCTTCCTCAGTGCTTTTTTTATTGTTTAGGACTTCAAGTTCTCAGTCTTCTCTTTGTTCTCAAATCACCAGTTCCCAGCCAAGTTGACGTAGTTAATGTGCTAATTTATTTATTTATTGCCAAGTTATTTTAGCATGCGTAGAGGAGCTGGGAGTTTCATTATCTGCCTTTTGTGTGTGCTATACTGTAAGTCCTGAGGTCAGGAAATTGCATCTATCTTATTTACTGCTAAACTTCTTAGTCAGGTGGCTGGAAACTGTATCTGCATTCATCACCAGGGCTGCCCAAGTTGCTCTCCAGGAGACAGCTTCACACTGTATGTGAATGATGCCCTTGGAGTGTGTAACAAAGCCCTGTCTTCTGAGTAACATGAGCAAGTTTCTTAATCTTTCTATACTTCAGCTTCCTCATCTATAAAGTAAAAATAATAAATCTACAACTTTTTGCTTAAGTGGGATAGTTTTAAGGCCCTTAGTGCCGGGCATGAGTTAAACGTCCAGTAAATGTTAGCTGTTGTTATTTTCATCTCTGAGTTCTCTAGCAAAGTCTTAGTATGTGCCAGGCACTGAATGGATTATTATTAAATGAGTTAATAAGTGAAACTTTAAACAATATAAGAAATTAGATATTCAGTATTTTTTCTTGCCTTCACATACACAGCTTTCAAGGACTAATAGGAAATGTCCAGATTGCTTATTGATTCTTAGCTTTTGAACTAAAATTTGTTATCAGGTTTATTCTATAGATTTTTCTGATATTCAAACTTAAGAATACTGAAGAAAAACCCATAAAAGCTTTTTCTTAGATGGAGTTTGTTAAAAAATTGTGGGTTCCTCACTCATAGGCGGTGTTGAACAATGAGAACACATGAACACAGGGAGGGGCGCGCTACACACTGGGGTCAGGTGGGGGGAAATAGGGGATGGTCGGTGGGAGGTGGGGAGCTGGGGAGAGATAGCAAGGGGAGAAATGCCAGATGTAGGTGATGGGGAGGAAGGCAGCAAATCACACTGCCACGTGTGTATCTATGCAACAATTTTGCATGTTCTTCATATGTACCCCAAAACCTAAAATGCAATAAAATAAATAAATGGGGAAAAAAAATTGTGGGTTCAAAATCATGCATTTTAAAGTCCCAAAATTGCTCTTTAAATCAACTATAACACTATTAGTATATTTTCTTTTTATAAAGGATGATTGAAAATCAAAATGTATAACCAAAGTCATTAATTTGTGTTAACATACTTACAAAGAAATTGTAATACTTAGTTTTCTCAGGTACCCACATGTGCTTCTTTGGTTGTTAGTCATTTAATATAAAAGAATGCACTTAGAGTAATTCAGTCTCTTTTTCCACAATAATTACTACTTGTTTACTTCTAAGAGTTAAGACCCAGCAAGAGGCTAATGAAGAAGAAAGTAGAACGATAAGTAGTCAGCAAAGAGAATTTTTAGACTGTATAAATTTTACTATTCAAATCTTCATTATTTTTGAGAAAAAAAATACTGAGACATGGTATTAGATGTCTTTATACTACTTTCTTACATTATAATTATACAACAGTCAAACTTAGGTATGGGCAGCACTTGCATATCTGTTTTCTATGTCAGTGCAGTTTTAGCTAAAACTTTCATTATAGCTAAATGGTTACATCCCCTCTAAGGGAAAATAAAACTCATGTATTATCTGATAATTTAAAGGCCCTGGAGTGCATAAAATAAGTTTTGTACATATTTTTAAAGAAATTTTTTAAAAATGTTAAATGCTTTGAATTTTGGTTTAGTATTTTAAGAGTACCTACAGTCTCGGGCATAAAGTGATCATGCTTTTTGTCTTATAAAGCACAAGTATATTTTAGACACTTCATAAATAATATTAATATTTTTCTCACAGAGAGAAATGAAGACTTAAGAAAATATGAAAATAAAAAATTTGTGGCTAGAAAAAAAAACCCAAAAGATTTAAGTATTTTCAACACATTTGAATAATTAAAGTCTATAGTGTCATGAGATGTATTTTATTCTTTCTTCCTATCAAATTATTTGAAGAAATCTGGAGACACTAGTTACAATTTACTAAAATATTATTTTCTTATATTAACATTTTAATTTTTTTGAATCAAATCTATATATTTACATACCTTTCACATTAAATATACACAGCCCTGTTAAAAATTAATCCATACTTTTTTTTTTTTAAGAAACAAATATTCATAGATGACTTATGTTCCCAACTGTAACAAACATGTTTATTTGTTAAAGTTGGTGGACCAGCCATGGTGCAGAAATCAGATGTCATTTCATTGAACTGATATCACTAAATTTGAAGTCAGTGCCATCATGGTCAGTCACACATCCTTAATGGCCTAGTGTCTGTATCACTGAACAAATGATCAGATTGTAGAACCTGAAGACTGCCTGGGACTTCACTTTGTTTGCTCTTTTTCTATTCTGTTAAGAAATAAATTACACTTTAAAAAAAGAACATTTTTTTTTTAGCTGATTAACAGTTTCAGCCTATACATTATTCTATAACAGTTTAAAATAGTTTGTGTCCTGCAGGGCTTAGAAAAGATGGTATAATACAGAAAATAAGACAGTTTTTAAGATTCTTTAGTTAAATATATATACAGTAAAGAACTTAAGAATACTGAAGAAAAACCCATAAAAACTTTTTTCTTAGATGGAGTTTGTTGTTAAAAAATTGTGGGTTCAAAATTATGCATTTTGAAAATGTTCATATTTTGCTGTTATAGGCCATTTGTGTAGGACCAGAAAACATGCAGATAATGTATCCAGCTATATTTGACCAGTTGTTGGCATTTGTAGAATTTTCCTGTAAACCTCCACAGTATGGACAGCTGGAAACAAAGCACATTGCAAATGCAAAATATAATCAGGTAATTTACTGTAAATTTTATTTACTTTGTAAGATTTCATGGCTTATAAATACAGTTCCACTTAAGATGGACTTTCATTATCTCAGAAAAAGATACTTTTCACTCACAAATACACTTACAGATGTCTGCTAACAGTATAAGCTTAATAGAAATACTGTTTGGGAAACCAGTTCTATGTTCTTTTTCTCCTCGTTTATGACTTTCCTCTTCCAACTAGTTCTTCAGAAAGTTTGGCCTTTTATATTACTCTACAGTACATCTTTCTTGAAAAATTTTAAGTTCTTTTGTACCTCTTTCTTGGTTGCCCCATTCTAATACGAAACAGCTTCTAAATCCCTAAGTCTAATCTTACTTAAAATAGATACCTGCCATGCAAGATGAAGAAACTATTTGTACTGAATAAGAAGTTGTACACTACTGGTGTGAAATTTAGTTGGATTTTACATAAAATATTTTTATAGCCATAGTTGGCAGATTTTATCTTTGGCTTAGGGGAAAAGTACATTTCTGAATGCATGCACATGCTGATTTCGCTCACTCAACATAAAAATTATAATTTTATATCGTCCGAAAGTAGTTTTAATATGTATTAACTTTTCTCATTCTATTTGTCTTGCAACACAATGGAATCACAATAGATCCAACTATTTGCACCGGTGAGTTAAATTTCCTAAAATTGTCCTAACCTATTGGCAACAAATAAATTACATCTTTCCCGGTTCTTGGTAGAATGCTCTGTGTGCTTTTTCCAATAGTTTTAATTTTTGCCTGGCTGAAAATTATTTTTTTCATGAAGTTCATATCTCTTTGAAAACTGTGCATGTAATATAATCTGACCTAAAAGCAAGATCTGAACTTTAAGACAAATATGCTTTCCCTTTGAAAACAATATGGTTAAATTAATCCCGTTTATTTTTAACTGTGTGTGAAAATATTACTTTCTAGGCGGAATGGGTAGCCTTGAATTATGTGCCATTTGCTGAAAGGTCTTTAGAAGTAGTTGTGGATTTATACCAAAAAACAGCGTGTCACAAAGCAGTGGTGAATGAGAAAGTGCTCCAGAATATTATTAAGGTATCTTTTTTTCATTTCTACACTTTCATTAGATGATGAGGACATTATTGAAATTATTCCTTAGGTAATATATTATTATATTGGGATAAATGGAAAATATAATTTGTGTTTTTATTTATAATGACTTTTCTCCAATATTCAGGAATTGTATTTAGCAAACCATTTTTCTAAAGTATGAGAAGTTGTTTTTATTGAAAAATATTTTAACATATATGTGCATTAAATATGTTAGAGTTCTTACATTTTGCCACATAAGACAATGAGGATCCTGTTTCTTAGGACAGAATTTCTCAAGCTTCACGGCTGGTGAGCATTTAGGGAGAAATTAACAATGCAGCCCATATACTTAACTGAACATGCATGCTGAGTTTTTTAAAGCCACTTTTTTACTGTATGGACAGCCGTATAAAAAGTTCTTGTTGATTTTGTTCCATTCCTCTAAGGCTTATTTCTTGTTTTCCCCCTCTGTTTTGAAGAACTAACCCTAAACCTTGTTCTTCCTCTACCATGTGGATATACCTTATATTGACTGTATAAATACCAGACCAACTTGAGCTGTCTTCTCTCAAGACTCATCTGTTCCCACCTTTCTTCATTGGTGATTTTTTTCATTTTTCTTTCAGCATCTTATACAAGGATTATTAAGCCTTTGATACTATAAGAATTTTCTCTCAACTGTACTTCCTACTCAAATTGTCATCCTCTTTCAGCTTTCCTTTATTCCCATATCCCTTAACCAGTTTGTGGCCTTCACCTAGTCACCACTCACTCTTCGCCTGTTGTGTGTTGGCTTACATCCATATTGCTCTATAGAAACTGCTTTCTCAAAGTTACAAAAGACCAAATCTTCACATCCTAAGTCCTTTTCTAGTGATTTATCTTCCCTATAGTATGGTACTGGCCTTCTGAAAGCTGAGCCTTCTAAAAGCTCTTTCTTCCCTTGACTTTTATGATACTTTTCTCTCCTCGCTGCTTACCTCACCAAAACCATCCCCTCTCTTCATTTATTGAGCGTGTTTTTAAAGCATTTTTCTACAAGTCACTAGTACTTTTAAAATGAATAAAATGATTCTTACATTTAATAATCAATATAGAAAATAAAGAAAGGCAAACAAGTAATAATACAGTATGTTAAGTGCTAATTAAAGACCATAGTGGAGGCTTTACATTCAGGTAGCCTGAACGACTTCAAATAGTCCACTATTGGCTTACTGTTTTATGACTTTTGGCAAATTGACCTATGTGAGCATGTTTCTCATCTGTAAAGAATAATACCAACACTACTTTTATGTCTTAACTATATTAAGAGAATCCATTGAGGTATGGCATTTAATGATGCTTGCCAAGTAGTCAGTGCTGAATAAAAATGGAGTTCCTCTGAAAGACAAAAAACTAACTAAACTGCTGATGGGATTTGGGCAAGAATTAATAGAGAGGACACTTGAAGGAGTTAAGAGTTAGATTAAAAAGGAGGAGGCAGGTGTTATAGGTAAATTAAGCAGTGTAAAAGATCATGGTGTATATTTAAGAAATGTTGAGAAATTCAGTTCAGGACGTGGGATATGTCTGACAAGATAACTGTCGGTCTTTTAAGCTGTCATAAGATCAGACTTTATTCTTTAACCATTGAAGGATTGAATACCAAAGAGTGATATGAATCAGTTTGTATATTTTTAGAGACAGAGTTTTACTCTATCACCCAGGCAGGAGTGGAGTGGCATAGCTATAGCTTACTGCACCCTTGAGCTCCTGATCCCATGTGATCTTCCTGCCTCAGCCTCCCAAGTAGCTGAGACTACAGGTGGACACCACCACCACCTCCAGCTGATTTTTAAATTTTTTGTAGAGACTGGATCTTGCCGTGTTGCCCAGGCTGGTCTCAAAATCCTGGCCTCAGGCGGTCCTCTAACCTCTTTCTCCCAAAGCACTGAGATTTTAAGTGTGAGCCACTGTGCCTGGCTCAGTTTATATATATATATATAACATAAAACATATGTCACTGAAGTCTCTGCCTCCCGGGTTCAAGCAATTCTTCCACCTCAGCCTCCTGAGTAGCTGGGACTATAGGTGCACACCACCACGCCTGGCTAATTTTTGTATTTTTAGTAGAGATGGGGTTTCACCATGTTGGCCAGGCTGGTCTTGAACTTCTGACCTCAAGTGAGCCATCCACCTCAGCCTCCCAAAGTGCTGGAATTAAAGGCATGAGCCACCATGTCCAGCCACTCAGTTTGTATTTTTAAAAGAGTTAAATGATCTCTTTTCTATAATCCCATTTTGTTGGTACCACTTACCGCATTGTTTTGTGGTTGATTGGACAAGGCTCTTTCTCCAAAATTGTAAACTTTGTGGTCACAGACAATCACTGAGCACATTCTATATACCACTTTCTGTTTAGTTTTGTAAACATTTTAAAAAATAAAATGTATAAATTGAATGAATCTGCTGTGCTGAATGTTTTCTTGATTTTAGTAAAATATCAATTACAGTAATACACCATACTTTTCTTTTATCTTAGCTTGAGTTATAAAATGTGAACTCAGAATGGCCCATGTATCACTTAGTATTCTTTTGGTTGCAAATGACATACACTCAGGCTCTGACTAGCTTTAACAATAAAGGGAATTTTTTGGCATGCTTACTTGGAAAATTCAAAGATAGAGGAAGGGCTTCGATTTGTTGATCCAGTGGTTCAGCAGTATTATCAAAAACCACATTTTTTTTTCTCTAGAATGTTCTGCTAAGAATTGACCATATCATTTTTTCTTTGCAGCTGTAGGCCAGTAATAGGATTATGTGTCCGATAGGGAGAAAGAGAGAGAGACAGAGAGTGTGTATGTTCATGCTCACACACATTCACACACTTCTATTCTTCTTAAGTTCCTAAAATTAATTTTTAATGGACCAGCTTAGGTCCCATACCCACTCTTAAGCCAATGATTATGGCCAGGGAAACGGAGTGGATTCATTGGCTTGATCAGCTCTGTCATCTCTTTGCCTGACTTCCCCAACTATAAGTAGGGACAGTTCTTCCCAAAGCACATGGATTGTATGGAGGTGGAAGGAGGGGAAGGGGATAAATAGATTCTGGGTGTGTTCATTATCTGTTAATGAAGGCCCATTTCATGCTACTATGTAATGGTTAATTTGTATAATGTGTGAATATTCTGTAATAATTTGTGTGGAAGGTGATGATGCTTGGTTTTATATCCTTGAAATATGGTAATTTATCTTTTCTACACTTTCTTAGACCAGAATTTTTGCTCTAATGCAAATTGCCTGACAGTATGCCAAAACTGTTTGTTGATGGTGCTCTGTGTTAAGCTTGCTATGATGTTTCGGTCAATCTCGTGTTCTAATTGCCAGATAGAACTGTGATCAGAGAAATCTATTCTGAAGATCCAAATTAGTTCTTTTAATAAATAAAAGCCACCTGTCCCAAAAGTTGATCACTTAAAAAGATAAGTCACTATACGTCTAGTCACTGTACATAACTCAAATGCTCTACTGCTGTACCCTCAGTGGTCAAATCTTAAACTACCAGATTTACTGAAATATTTGGAGAAGGAAAAAAGTACACAAAAATATTAGAGTTGGATATAAAACTCAACTAATTTTACAGATAGAACATACAACTTCAAAGGATTGACCTTTTATGTTGTATTTACTGTTCCCTCGCCATTAGTGGGAAAATTCAGTCGTGCATTGCTTAAGTACAGAGATACATTCTGAGAGATGCATCGTTAGGCCATTTCACTGTTGTCTGAACATCAGTTATAGTGTACTTACACAAACCTAGGTGGTATAGCCTACTTCGCATCTATGCTATATGGTCTAACCTATATATGTGGCAGATGACTGTATAAGCAACATTACCCTTTATAGATGGTATATCCACATCAGCCAAATTACTTTTTGCTGAGAGAACTATGGCAGAATTTATGATTCCATAACATCAGGTTAAGAAAAGCTACAGGATTGTGTTTCCTACTCTTAACTTTTCAGATAATATCCCTATTATTAATGATGAAAAACCGAAGTTCAAAAATGTTAGTTTTTTAGACTAATTGTTTATAAGATAGAGACAGGATTTAAAAGTATATCTTTCCAGGTAGTATTTAAAGACCATGTCAGAGAATTGGCCTTTCTGGGAAATAATAGCCTTTTTTAAATGAAAATACCATCCCCTTTTTTTTTTTGAATTGGAGTCTTGCACTCTCGCCCAGTGGCGCGATCTCGGCTCACCGCAGTCTCCACCTCCTGGGTTCAAGCCATTCTCCTACCTTGGCCTCTGGAGTAGCTAGGACTATAGGTGTGTGCCACCATGCCCAGCTAATTTTTTTGAAAAATATCATCCTTTTAAAAATGAAAATACCTATGCTATTTTTTTCTCTGCTGTAGTTTTTCTTAAGTAATTAAAATTGTGTGTGTATATTTTAATTAATACTTACATTAAACTGTTCTTATTTGCAGACTCTTAGGGTTCCTCTCAGTTTGAAGTATTCCTGCCCTTCTGAAAGCACATGGAAACTAGCAGTATCCTCTCTCCTCAAGGTTCTTTCTATTGGGCTACCTGTTGCCCGGCAGCATGCTTCTTCTGGAAAATTTGACAGTATGTGGCCAGAACTAGCGAATACTTTTGAAGATTTTCTCTTTACTAAAAGGTCAGCTCATTCATTTTTAAAATTAAGACAATCTTTCAAGAAGTGGCGCATTATATCTTCACTTGCTCTAAAAACAGTTTTTATCTTTATTTAACAAAGTAATTGATTATTAAGGTTGCTAGATTGTATTAAAAACATAGGCATTTATCCACTGGGTACATTATTCATGAACAATGGAGATTTTTGCTTTTTGTATTGTTTTTGGTTATAAGATAAGAATATTGTATATAAAACAATATGAATGTGTCATACTTAAGAATTTTAACTTAATAAAACTAAGAAGATTCATCTTTCAATTTGGTGCCCATTGGGCATTTCAAGAGAAAAACCATTTTAGAAAATCAGTGTATTACCAGAATAAATACGATGAGTGGCAATGTATAATTACTGATTAGTTCTTCAAGATGTTTAGATTTGTCAAGGAATAACAGAATTTTTATTGTGTGATATCTAATTTAAAGCTTTTATTTAGGATGCTATTTTGACCCCTCACTGAACTACAGTAGGATGATTAGAACACAGACTACATTTTTGAATGAAGAATTTGCTGAGGTCTGTCTAGGAGAGCCGTGCTATTCAGTACGGTAGCCATCACTAGTTACAAATGACTACTTAAAACCACAATGTAAATAAAATTAAAATTTTTTTCAGTCACTCTAGCCATATTTTAAGTACTTATTGCCACGGGTGACTAGCAGCTGCCACACTGGGTAGGGCAGATTATTGGACTTTTCGTCACTGAAAATTGTGTTGGGCAGGACAGATGTAAAGCGTGCCCTTTTACTGAGTGTGGACTTGTCTGTAATATATGTGATAGCCAGGCAGTCTTTAATCCTTCTAGCACAAGTAATTATCCTTAGTGCTACTGTAGTGAAATTCTTTTCTGAGACAGTCTCGCTCTGTTGCCCAGACACCAGCGGAGCATTGTGATCACAACTCACTGTAGCCTCGACCTCCCAGGCTCAAGCAATCCTTTTACCGCAACCTCCTGAGTAGCTGGGGCTACAAGTGCATGCCAGCACACCTGGCTGATTTTTAAACTTTTTGTAGAGATGGAGAGTCTCACGTGTTGCCTAGGTGTCTTGAACTTCTGGGCTCAAGTGATCCTCCCACTTTGGCCTCCCAAAGTGCTGGGATTACAGGCAGCCACTACACCTAGCCAATTTTTAAAATGTTTTTATCTATCAATCATTTTTTGGTATTGTAAAATGATACCATGTACTGCTAAAATACTGTTTAACATTATTAGTTGGAAACCACTGAAGTTACAGATTTGATGTACTTGAAGAAAAAAACTACATTGACATATTGATAATGATTAAATGAGTCCACAACAGAATGAATTAACTGAAAAAAAATTTGTGTACTATTCTGATATGGTTTAGTTATTCAGTAAAGAAAATTTCTAGGGTGTAGAAGATTAACTTGCATTTCCCCTACAAAAGCTTGTTTTATATTTCAGAATTTAAAATAATAACAGGTGATCTTAATTTCTGTCTTGAAGGTGGCCACACTTTGTTTTGTATTTTTATATATTTTTCACTCTAGAAATGTTATTGATAACAATGTAAGCATGCTCTATTTTTGAAGGAAAAATGATAGGCACTCATAAACTATATTCAAACAAATTATCTTTTCATCTTTAAAATAACTCTGAAAATTTGAGTTCCTTCGATGTAAGATCCTGAGTCACTGTTAATTTATATCAAGCACACAGGTTGAGAAATTTAAATTTTTCCTTTTCTTTTCTATTGAATAAGCTTTCAGATCAGTTTTGTTTTTTTTTTTTAACAGTGAGTGAAACTTCTTTAAGTATTTCTTTCCCTAGCCAGGTGCGATGACACACACCTGTAATCCCAGCGACTTGGGAGACTGAGGTGGGAGGATTGCTCAAGCCCAGGAGTTCAAATCCAGCCTGAGCAACATAGCAAGATTCTGTCTATAAAAAAATTTTTTTCTATGTAAAATACTATTTTATATAATTTTGTATCAATGTAGTTGTAATATAATTTCATGTAAAAATTTAGCTCTAAATTTGGAGATTTTTGTTTGTTTTTGTTTTACTTGAGACAGTTTTTCTGCCATCTTATTTTTGAGTTTATTAAATATTCTTCATTTTCTGGACTTTATTCTTATTTTATTAAATTCTGTTTTCTGAAGAGTTTAATACAGAAAAGTGGAACCAAAGGCCAAATAATAGTATTTTACATAATTTTGTATCAATGCAGTTGTAGTATAATTTCATTTAAAATATTTTGCCTGATTATGGCTCTACTTACGTTAAAGATTTGAATATGTTTGGTGTGTTGAAAAATACATTATTACATAAGAAGTGGCTGACATAGTGGATAAGAGCATTGGCTTGGTAACCAGACTACGTGGATTCAGATCGCAGTTAGTACTGCTTTATACAACTTTTTCGACAAGTTATTAAATCTTTCAGTGACTCATTTTTCCTCATCTTTTAAATGTCAATAATCTCCCTAATTTATAGGGTTATTGTGAGGATTAAATCACTTAAAATAAGTGAATGCTTAGAATAGTACCTGGCATGTAAATACTTTAAAAATGCTTGTTACCACTATTATTGTCATTAATGTTTTTTCTTTCTTTTAGAAAAAGTGACATTATCCGTATCATTTCCAATGACACAGCTATATTTTAAACCAAAATTCTAAAGACCAAAACTCTAAATAACCGAGATTTGGAAATTTATCTCTACATGTGGAGGTTTTTGTTTGTTTTTGATTTTTTTGAGACAGTGTCTCTTTCTGTCACCCAGGCTGGAGTGAAGTCGCATGTTCATGGCTCACTGCAGCCTCGACCTGCTGGGGTCAAGTGATTCTCCCACCTCAGCCTCCCTTGTAGCTTGGACTACATGTGTGCATCTACCACACCCAGCTAATTTTTGTATTTTTTTGTAGAGATGGTATTTCACCATGTTACCCAGGCTTGGAGTTACTTTTAATGGCTAAAAAATAATAAAGATTCTAAATTCACCTCTCAAGTAGCACGGTATCAGTATTCTAAGTTACGGTTATTCTAGTTACAGACTTAAGCTTTCTATTCAATGGAGTAGTCGGTGAGCACCCTAGATTGAGAGTCAGGAGACCTGTGACCTGGTCCTCACTTGCTGTCTACTTTCTGTTGATCGTGAGCTGGTCCTTTCCCATCACTAGGCATTATTTATTTGAAAGACAAAAGAAGGCCAGGTAGAGTGGCTCATACCTGTAATCCCAGCACTTTGGGAGGCCAAATTGGGAGAATTGTTTGGGCCCAGGAGTTGGAGACCAGCCTAGGCAACGTAGTGAGACTCTGCCTCTCCAAAAAAAATTTTTTAATTAGCTAAGTGTGGTGGTGTGTGCCTGTAGTCCCAGCTACTTTGTAGCCTGAGGTAGGATGATCGCTTGAGCCTGGGAGATTGAGATTACAGTGACTTGTGATTGTGCCACTGCACTTTAGCTTGGGTGATAGGGCAAGACCCTATCTCAAAAAAAGATGAAAAGTTATTTGTTGAAGTAATTGTAAAGGTCCATGATTATTTTCTGTATTTTGACTTAATGTTTAATCAGTCTTTTTAACTTATAGTTTATATTGTATAAAGCCAGTTTAGTTTTTGTTTCATAGATCAAAAATGCTTTAATGCTCAAATCGAAAGCTTTTATTGGTCAGTTGGTGCTAAAAATGCAGTGTTAAGAGAAGTTAAAAACCATGCACATTTGTACAGTTTCATGAGAAGGTTTTTTTCTCTTTGTTGTTGTTTTCTAAATAATTGATAACTTTGGAGGTCATAAGCTTTGAGATTTTAAACTTAATGCCGCATATAGACTATGTTCTGTAGCTGAAGTTTATCAGTAGTATTTGAACAGTAGAAAGACTGTTTTGGAATGTTGATTGGAATAGCAAGACTTACTGAATTTAAATAAGACTTAATATTTGACTATTTTTTATATTGGTACCTTTATAAATCCTTTAACCTAATTAATACATACTCTAAGACTCTTAAGAATAGCCGGGCGCGGTGGCTCAAGCCTGTAATCCCAGCACTTTGGGAGGCCGAGGCGGGTGGATCACGAGGTCAAGAGATCGAGACCATCCTGGTCAACATGGTGAAACCCCGTCTCTACTAAAAATACAAAAAAATTAGCTGGGCATGGTGGCACGTGCCTGTAATCCCAGCTACTCAGGAGGCTGAGGCGGGAGAATTGCCTGAACCCAGGAGGCGGAGGTTTGCGGTGAGCCGAGATCGCGCCATTGCACTCCAGCCTGGGTAACAAGAGCGAAACTCCGTCTCAAAAAAAAAAAAAAAAGAATAAACATGTCTCTCTCTGTATTATTCCCCAACCTTTTTGATCTGCAAGATGCTTTGGCAAGGGAATACAGTAACAAAGAAAATACAAATAAAATCAACTAGAAGAAAAGAAAGCCTTTGCATATCATTGAGGGCTATTAAAAGTAAATAGTTTAAGAGAAAGAAAAATACAAAGTTGAAAAACATAAAGACTGCAATTTGGTAGACACTTGAAGTCTTTTAGAAATTAATTCAGCCAACTTTGAGTACCAAAACATAGTGGTTATCAAAGGAGATACAGTGGACCAGTGGGAAGTTATACAATTAATGATCTGTGGACCTTACATTAAAAATCACAAAGTACTGTGCAAAAGAATTGAAAACACATATTCACACAAAAACTTTTACACTAATGTTCATAGCAGTGTTTATTCATAGTAGCAAAAAGTGAAAATAACTCAAATGTTTATCAACTGATGTCTAGATAAATCGAATGTGGTATATTCATAAAGTAGACTATTATTCAGCGATAAAAAGAATGAAGTGCTAATGCGTGCTCTAACATGGATAAACATTTGAAACATAATGCTAAGTAGAAGAAACTAGACACAAAAGGCCATGTATTGTATGATCTTGTTTATGGGATATATCCAAAGTAACAGATGGATAGAGACAAAGTAGATTCATGGTTCCCAGGAGTGGGGGAAAGGGAGTTAAGGGGGGTGACTACTAATGGGTACAGAGCTTTTTTGGGAGGTGATCAAAATGTTTTGGAATTAGAAATGGTGATGGTTGTACAGCTTTATTAATATACTAAAGAACATTAAATTGTATATTTTAATAGGGTGAATTTTAGGCCAGGCACGGTGGCTCATGCCTGTAATCCCAGCACTTTGGGAGGCTGAGACAGGCAGATCACGAGGTCAGGAGTTTGAGGCCAGCCTGGCCAACGTGGTGAAACCCCATCTCTACTAAAACTACAAAAATGAGCCAGGCGTGTGGTGCATGCCTCTAATCCCAGCTACTAGGGAGGCTGAGGCAGGAGAATTGCTTGAACCTGGAAGGTGGAGGAGGCAGTGAGCAGAGATCACTCCACTGCGCTCCAGCCTGGGCGTCAGAGAAAGACTCCAGCTCAAACAAAAAAGGATGAATTTTATAGTATGTGAATTATATTGCAATAAAAATTTTTAAGAAATTTAAGATCTTACATGGCTCATCTGTAACCTGCAGTATTGACCATTGCCCCTTATAATTTATAGGTAAATTCTGTTAATCAGCATTTTTAAAAGCTCAGTCGATGTTTTTGATATGTTCTAATAATGATGGTAGTTATAAATTAAATAACTATTAGTTTGAGTTCTGGGATCAGGATACTCGGCCTGTGCACAGTTGAACAATGTCCTGATTTTTATGGATCATTGGAATTGGGAGTGACCCATTCAGTTTTTAGTTTTGTATGCTGCTCTATTCCCTCATCATATATTTTAAAAATCCAGTTTAGTGTTTCTGATATATGATCCCAATAGTATTAACATTATTAATGTGTATTGAAACATACACACTAATGCACCCTAGCACACACTATAAACACTGTGTATATATCTTATACACACTATATACACAATATATAGATACTGTATATATACACACTAATAATATAGAAATATACACACTAGTAATAATATCTTAATATTACTAAACCCTTACCTTTCTTGGTTATAAATTAAAATTAAACACAACTTTTATCTCTAGAGATGCAGATATGGTCTGTGAAGCTGCTTTGATGGCAGTGGTTGTGAAATTCCTATGATTGGTTCAGGTTTGAGTAAATTTCTCAGTTTTTTCCTCTAGTTCCTACTACCAATTTATAGTTAGCTTAGGACTTGGACACAAGAATCCAAGTTCCGTAAGAAATGGACCAAGTCACGCCGGGCGCGGTGGCTCAAGCCTGTAATCCCAGCACTTTGGGAGGCCGAGGCGGGTGGATCACGAGGTCAAGAGATCGAGGCCATCCTGGTCAACATGGTGAAACCCCGTCTCTACTAAAATACAAAAAATTAGCTGGGCATGGTGGCATGTGCCTGTAATCCCAGCTACTCAGGAGGCTGAGGCAGGAGAATTGCCTGAACCCAGGAGGCGGAGGTTGCGGTGAGCCGAGATCGCGCCATTGCACTCCAGCCTGGGTAACAAGAGCGAAACTCCGTCTCAATAAAAAAAAAAAAAAAAAAAAAAGAAATGGACCAAGTCTATCTTGTTCACAGCTAGATCTTGAACACCAAGAATATAATGCCTGAAAGCAAAGTAGTTGGTAGTCAGTAGATATTTTTGAATGAAAAATGTCCAAATCAATGAAACCAAAGTCTGATGTCCATATATTCCTAGAAACAAAATTGTGTATTAATATTCAAAAGTATATATTAAACCTAAATATTCTAATACTATTTTTACATCTACAATATAAAAGAGAATAATGTAGGCTCAAATATCAGATAAATCTAAGTTTAGGTTGTGGTCTTGTCATTTACTTAGTGTGTTCTTGGGCATATTAGTAGTTCAGTTTACTCTTCTGTTGATTATATAATAATTACTACATGGAATTGCTATGGGAGATTGATACAAATAAAACTCTTAGTACAGTGCCTAACTTTTAAGCTGTCATTATTGTAACAATTATTACTATTCTTTTCTCAACTGTTTTTAAATAGTAGTGTCTCACTGTTTTTTAACTTTATGTTCATTTTACTGTTCACTCTGATTATGAGCCACAGAGTCTGGAATCCACCTTGGTTCTCTCAGAACTATTGATTTCCTCTGTTCTTGTTGGAACAGTTTTCTGCTTTAGAAAATCTGTATCACTGTTCTTCTTTATAGATTATCTCTCTTTACTGTAAAGATATTTAATCCATTGTATTTATTACAAATTAATGATTAATGGACTGTCTCCGAGTAAATAATTTAGCAACTTAACTAAGGCTCTCTTAAATCACCACCGTAATAAGTGAATTCAGCTATCACCACAATAGTAAGTTTTGCTCTGTTGCAGATGATATATCTTTACCTTTTGTTGTTTTTTCATTCATAATACCGAAAGAAGTTTAGTTCTACAGATTTTATTTAGTTCAAGATTGGACCTAGTGTTTTTGTACTTAGAGTATTATGTTTGTAATTAGTCATTTAAACTAATGACTTTAATTTACAACATTGCTCTTTTAAATAAATAATAATGTCCCAACCTGGGTTGGAAGACATAATTTTTGACATCTGAATACTGTTTATCTATTTTCTTTGTATTTGCAAGGAATATTTTACCTTTAAAATTCAAGTGTTTTGTTTATTTTTTTTTTTAGCATACCTCCAGATAACCTCTCTATTCAAGAGTTTCAAAGAAATGAAAATATTGATGTTGAGGTAAGGAAGCTATTTAAAATGTTTTCCTATGACCATTTCAGAAACCACATAGTAAAAATGTTTGAACTATACAGTTGCTAAAAGTATAAAGTAATAGGTTAAAATTAAAACTGAAAGCATTAAAACTCTTACAGGTTAAATGTTGATGTTTAAAGAACTGGCATTTTAAAAGTGACTTCCTTAGATTTGTGATACTCTTGTGCTATGTACATGCTGTCTCAGTACTTAGTTGTGTTCATTTAAAAAGTTTAAAAAGAGTTGATTCAGTGAAATAAATCCATCAGTCAGGGAGCATATATTTGAGAGCTTACTCTGCAGTTTGACAAACCAGATGTTTGTGCTTCAAATTAATCAGTATGTTGCTTGAATTTTTCAGTTTTTACTCAGCTGTATATACAGCCTATGGAATTCTTAAAGCAAATAGAGGTTTTTAAAGAATGTATTTCAAGGCTGGGAACAGTGACTCATACAGTACTTGTAATCCTAGTGCTTTGAGAGGCTGAGACAGGAGAATTGCTTGATACCAGGAGTTTGAGGCCAGCTTAGGCAACATAGTATGATACCATCTCTGCCAAAAAAGAAAAAAATTTTTTAAGGTAATTAGGCATGGTGGTACACTTCTGTAGTCCTAGTTACTCAAGAGACTGAGGCGAGAGGATCAGTTGAGCCCAGGAGTTGGAGGCTGCAGTGAGCTACGATTGTACCACTGTGCTTCAGCCTGGGCAACAGAACAAGAACCCTGTGTCTTTAAAATAAATAAATTAATTAATTAATTAATAAAATAAGGAATGTATTTTGAGTTTTGTAAATGGAATTTAAAGAAGCAGTTCTTGTGGTTGTAGGTTTTTCTGTTGGTGGTAGGGTTTTGGAGGTTTTTTTTTTTTTTTTCCTTTAAGTGAAATAGAACTTTTAAGTAAATAAAATCAATTAAATTACTTTAAAATAGACATTTAAATTGCATAGGCATCATCATATAGAAACAAAATACTGCCTTTTGGGCGTTACTGTATTAAAGCTCTTGAGGACTTTTTCTTTAAAGGGCAAAATAACACACTACATGTTAGAAATAAACTATAACTTTAATTTCTCTTACAGCTGATAGTTTTTGGTCATAAAAAAGTGACTTAAATTAAAGTTACTCTTAATCCTATTTTGAATATTTTAATTCTAACATGGATAAATTTTATATGCTGGATGTTTTTCTCTAGGGCCCTATTTGCAGTTATCATGCTGAAGACCAACATTTGTCCAAATGTTTGGGAATAGTAAACAGTTATGGTGCTATTTTACATTAAAGTTACTAAGACAGATGAGAGAAACAGATTAGTAGTCATCCTGTATGTTAACGTTAAAATGTTTGTGTACTTCTTTAAAGGAGGGTTCTCTAACTGATTTTCATTTAAAGTAAAATTTAAACATTGCTCTAGAAATTATTTCAGTGAGCCTCTTTCAAGGAAAACAATACATTTACATTTGCCCCTTTTGTTTTAGGTAGTTCAGCTTATCAGCACTGAGATACTACCTTATGCCAATTTTATTCCTAAGGAATTTGTTGGTCAGATAATGACAATGCTTAACAAGGGCTCAATACATTCTCAGTCATCTTCATTTACAGGTATGTTACTTTAAGTATGAAAAAGTATTGAAATACTTTTGAAGAAACTGACATAGAAATGTTTAATCCTATAATTTTGGAAACATAAACTGGAGAATGCTAAATGATTTTTAGGATTATAATATAGAACATTAAGCTTTATGAGGAGAACTGTTATGACATGACTGTTCTGTGGAATAGAATGTTTCTATTCCATGTTTCTATTCTGTGGAATACTGTGTTTCTGATCATATATCAGACACACTGAACTAAATTTTTAAAATACCATAATTGCAAACTGTGAAGAATTAAATTGCAAAGCACTTTGTGGAATCCATGGATGTCACTGCAGGCTGACATTAAGTTACCAGTTTTGTGAAGTCATAGGTGATTGGAAAGGAATATAAAAATATGAATGTATGTTCTGCCACTTAGCAGTCAATTAACTTTTAAGTCTCAGTTTTATTATCTTTAAAATGGAGATATTAATGCTGTCTTCTCAGGACTATAAACTACAGAGTTAGTTCATTTAAAAAAATAAGATGCCTCAATAGTCTTTAAAGGGAACTAACATTTAGTCAGGGCCAGCTATGTACAGGATATTATGCTAGAATGTTATCTCATTTCTCACATTTCTTTGAGGATAGGTATGACCACATTACAGGAAAGAAAATGGATTTAAAAAGGTTGAAAAGATTGCTCACAGTCTTCGGACTAGAGACCAAATTCATGCTTAAAAAGAACTGCAAACTTCTTTTCATTATATCATGCTGCTTTTATTGGGAACTGATACATAAGTTACTTTTGTTATTCTCTTTTTCTAAACCTGAGCTCAAGTCTTAAATTGTGGCATCAGCCAGGTGCAGTGATTTATGCCTATCATCCTATCGTTGTGGGAGGATCGCTTGAGGCCAGGAGGTTGAGACCAGCCTGGGCAGCATAGACTGCTTCCGTCTCTACAAAACGAGTTTTAAAATTAGCTGGGCATGGTGACACATGCCTGTAGTCCTAGCTATTTGAGTGACTGATGTGAGATGGCTTCAGCCCAGGAGGCTGAGGTGACAGAGAGCTGTGATTGTACCACCACATTTTAGGGTGCACTCTGGGCAAGGGAGCAAGACTCCTGTCTCATGTATATGTATGGATGATTTAAAAACTACACTTTGGGAAGCTGAGGCAGGTGGATCAGTTAAGGTCAGGAGTTCAAGACCAGCCTAGCCAACGTGATGAAACCTTGTCTCCACTAAAAATACAAAAATTAGCCAGGTGTGTCGGTGTTTGTCTTTGGTGGCATGTGTCTGTTATCCCATCAACTCAGGAGGCTGAGGCAGGAAAATTGCTTGAATCCCAGAAGCGGCGGTTGCAGTGAGCTGGGCTCACACCACTGCACTCCAGCCTGGGCGACAGAACAAGACTGTCTCAAGAAGAAAAAAAACTCTGTAAATTTGTGCCATGAAAATGCTTAATCCTCAGAAGTTGCTAGAGCCTTGACTAGCTTCTACTATTTTGTGCTGAGCATTTTAAAGAGCTTTTATGTGTACAGTTTGACCACTAGATGTCTCTCATACTGCTTACTTCACATACTAGTTCTTTTTTCTAGCACAGTTTTTAAAACTGGCCTGGTGAAGTGCAGGTTTAGCAAACATGAGAATCTCGGGGATAATTTTAAAGCCCATTTATCTTGACATAGCCAACTTTTTATTATTAAGAGTATATGAAAATATTTAGTTAATTTTAATAAAATACACATTAAGAACAGTATTCACAATTAGATATAAAAGTTCTAAGTTAAATAAGGGCTGTTGAGTTACCAAGTATACTTTTCCTGGCAGTTTTCTGATATCTTGCTATTTATAGTGTTAAATTTACCAAGACAAGAAAGGTGCATGGACATTCTTTCTGTGACTTAGCCATAGGACGCACGTCTTCTCAGCATTAATTGGGAGTTTTCCAACACGTGGGAAAGCTTCACACAACAGTCCTTTACCACCACAACAATGCTCCTGCTCATTCCTCCCATCAGACAAGGGCAATTTTGCAAGAGTTTCAATGGGAAATCATTAGGCATTCACTTTACAGTTGTGATGTGGCTGCTTCTGATTTGTTTTTGTTTGGGATCTTAAAAAACCATTGAAGGATAGCCTTTTTCTTAAGTTAATAATCTAAAAAAAACAGCATTGACATGGTTAAATTCTCAGGACCTCAATTCTTTATGGATAAACTAAATGGCTGGTATCATTGCTTACAAAAGTGCCTTGAACTTGATTGAGCTTATGTTGAGAAATAAAGTTTGTAGTTTTAATTAAAAAAAAGAAACTTGGAGTTTTCCTTAAATATACACATAGAAAGCTGTTTCTTGCTGAACAGGGCTAACATGTAAACACAGAAGTTCCAGTGATGATTGGTCTTTCGCTTTTAAGTATGACATGACAGAGCTCACAGACATTTGAGGAAATTCTCTAACACAAAAGAGAAAGACCAAAACAAATGAAAGGGAGTAAAAGAAATTGGGAGGAAACAGATAAAATGCAGAGCCACTGAAAACATAAAACCACAGTTAGGATGATCAAAGAGATAAACTCTTTACACTCTTGAAACAATTTTTAAAATGCTATATAAAAGGAGCAATAGAAAAAGAGACAGCTGGGCACAGTGGCTCAGGCCTGTAATCCCAGCATTTGGAAAGCTGAGGAAGGAGGATCACTTGAGCCCAGGAGTTTGAGACCAGCCTGGGCAACATGGCAAAACTTCATCTATACAAAAAATACAAATATTAGCTGGGCGAAATGGTGCATGCCAATTGTCCCAGCTACTCAGGAGGCTGAGGTGGGAGGATCACCTGAGCCCAGGAGAACAAGGCTGCAATGAGCTGTGATCATACCACTGCACTCCAGCCTGGGTGACAGACTCACTCTGTCTCAAAAACAAAAAAACAAAACAAGAAAAAACTAGTAGAAACTAAAGATGTGATGACAAGTTCAGTGAAGGGTTGAAAGGAGAAGGAAAATGAATCCAGGGAGCCTAACATCTGACAAAGAGAGAACGAAGAAAATCTAGGAGAAGGAATTATCAAAGAAATAAACCGAAGAACTAAGGAAAAAAAAAACCTCCAGATTAAAAATAGTACCAAAAACAGTGAAAGAAAAAAGACCCACATCAGGCATGTCATTATGAAATATCAGAATACCTGGAATAAAGAGAAGACCTTAAAAGATTTCAGAAAAAGAAAAAAAAAGTTCAATACAAAGACCCTGGAGGCTGGGCACAGTGACTTCATGCCTGTAATCTCAGCACTTTTGGAGGCCAAGGTGGTTAGATTACTTGAGGTCAAGAGTTCGAGACCAGCAAGGCCAACACAGTGAAACCCTCTTTCTACTTAAAAAAATATGAAAATTAGCCAGGCTTGGTCGTGCGTGCCTATAATCCCAGCTACTCAAGTCTGAGGTGGGAGATCACTTGAACCTGGGAGACAGAGGTTTCAGTGAGCCAAGATCACTCCACTGCACTTCAGCCTGGGTGACAGAGGGCAGACCCTGTCTCAAATAAAAAAAAAGATAGAGGGATTGGAATTCTGTCTGAGGCAGTATTGAATGCTAAAAGACATTGAAGCAGTGGTTTTAGAGTTGTAAATGGAAAGGACTTTTAACATGGAGCTCCATGTTAAAACTCATACTGCTGGGCAAGTATGAGCATAGAACAGTAATTCTCCAATTTCAGCATGCATCGTAATCAACCAGATGACAAGCAGTTGCTGAGCTGTACCCCCAGTATTTCTGATTCAGTAAGACTGGGTGGCATGTCAATTTGCATTTCTAACAAGTTCTCTGATAATGCTAATGCTGCAGTGTACACTTTTGAGTACCGTAATATATGATATTTTCAGAGGTACACGCTCTCAAAAGTTTTACTTCTCATTCATTCTTTCTTAGGAAGCTACTTCAAAATATGGTCAGTGAAAACAAAGGAGTAAACCAAGGAAAAAGAAGGCATGAGATCTTGGAAGTGGGATCTAACTCGAGAGAATGGAAACAATTTCCAGGGTGATGGCAAAGACTAGTTTCAGGATATAGCAGAACAGCGTGTCTAGAGAGCAACTCCACACTGGAGCAGAGGTCACTTTTCAGGAAAGATGTTGCTAGGACAGGGAAAAAGAGATTATTGCAAGTTTGACCATATGAAAAACTATTGTGAAGTATATTTTATAGTGCTGTTGTAGGGTATAGAAAGACCACGATAAGAAATACGTTGAATAGAAGTAATGAGGATCTTGCCTCGTTTTTGATCTTGTGGGGGGGAATTTGTTTCTTTATACACACACACACACACACACACACACACACACACACACACACACACACACACACACACACACACACACACACACACACACACACACACACACACACACACACACACACACACACACACACACCCACAATTTCCCTATATGTATGCTATTAGCTATAGATTGTTCTGGATGTCTTTTACCAGATTGAGGAATTGTCCTCTATTCCTGGTTTGCTAAGCATTGTTATCATTAGGCTCATTGATTTAACTTTTATTAACCATCAAAATTTGTTAATTTTACAGAAGCAGAGATTGATATTCGTTTGAGAGAAGAATTTTCTAAAATGTGTTTCGAAACATTGCTTCAGTTTTCCTTCAGTAATAAAGTCACAACACCTCAAGAAGGCTACATCTCACGAATGGCACTCTCAGTGCTTTTAAAGAGGTCCCAAGATGTACTACGTCGCTATATAGAGGATGAAAGATTAAGTGGTAAATGCCCTCTTCCAAGGTATATATTTCATTTTTTTAAGGAAATAAATGTATTGATGTACTAATTGTTAATAACAAGGAAAGTTCTGAAAAGAAAGTATTTTTCTAAGTGATCTGAACTACACTGAAGTTGTTTATAATCTTATTTATCCCATATGGTGTAAATATTCACAGGTTTTGCTGCAGATATATTAACATGTTTTGTTATGGGGTACTTTTTAGACTCCTCATGGGGGTTATGTAACATGATATATAGGTACCAAATTACCTTTTTGAATTTAAAAAAAAACAACAACAACTGAATTCCAAAATACATTTTTTCCCAGAGATTTCTGTATAAGGACTTGTGAATCTGTATGAATACATGATATTATTTCCCTAAAGTGAAAATCATAAATAAATCATATTTTAAGAACATCCTAGTTTGTTTTACAGTCATTTGCAGGTTTCTCTCTGTGTCAGCTAGCCTGATCTTAGGTATTCTTTTCATCCAGTCTGCATAATTAAGCCCACGGACCTAAACTGACTTCTTTCTCATTATTCAAGCTATGTCAGTGGAAGAAGCACTAGGCTTTTCTGGTCAGCCAAGGATAAAGTTGGAGTACAGACCAGAATTCAACAAAGGATGCAGTCATAAATTAGGGTTAGGTTGCAAATCTACTTTTTTAATGTGAAATTAGCATTTCAGGCATAGCAAATGAAGCAAACAGAAAACAACATGGGAAAACAAAGTTATCGAAGTCAGGAAAGACGAAAATCGTTGTTCCCATCTCATAAAGTGCGATTGGAGAGGCAAATCACCAGTCTTAAATCTTTGTGCACGTTTTAATCATAATAAATTTCTGAAGTTGGAATTGACCTGTCAAAAGACACAGACACTTTATAGCTTTTGATATGCATTAAAGAAATTTCCTAATAGAGATTTATACCAATTTACATTCTCCCAGGAATGTGTGAATGTTCCTTTCCTTAATTTTTAGCACTTTTAAATTATTTACTAGTTTATCATTTATCTTTTTCTAATTTGATGAATGAAAAATAGTCATATGGTAGTTTGCTTTTATTTTTTAATTATCAATGCATATTAGCTATTTGTATTTCTTCTTTTAGGATCCAGTGCATTTTGAATTTCTAGAACATAAATTATAACTCCTCATACTCAAATTTATACACAAAACACTCCAAAGACAGATGTTAGTAATTTGGTTATGGGTGTGATTGAAAACTGATTTCTGAAGTATACTTGGAAATGTGGTAATAAGGTTGCTTTGAGGGGAATATTGTTAGAATATATTTATATATTATAAATTATTTGATTTCAGAAAGCAACTTTCACTTTATTTTTCAATGTTGTAAATTTTTACTTTTTAACTACTGCCTTTAAATTGAGCCTTATTTATAATAATTGTCCTATGAAGTTATATTGTATCATTCTGTGTTTGTTGCAGTATCATTAAATAGTTTTCTAAAAATCTGCATTGCAACACAGTAAAATACTTAAATGCTTACAACAGGAAGTCTTAAAATAGTACCTTGACTTGGTATTAGAAAAGTCTTATCTGTAGAATGATAACACAGATGCACACCAGGAATGGAGAGGGATAAGGGCGGGCCATAGAGCAGAAGAACTTTGTTTCTATCAGGAGAAAGAAGAGAATCAAGCTACTCTTGTTGACCCTTTACTCCAAGTTTATTCTTCTTTGCTAATGCCTCCAAATCATGCTACCTTAGGATTGATTTGTACCATGTTTCTTTTTTTTTTTTTTTTTTTTTTAGACGGGGGTTTTCTCCTGTTACCCAGGCTGGAGTGCAATGGCGCGATCTCGGCTCACCGCAACCTCCGCCTCCTGGGTTCAGGCAATTCTCCTGCCTCAGCTTCCTGAGTAGCTGGGATTACAGGCACGCACCACCATGCCCAGCTAATTTTTTGTATTTTTAATAGAGATGGGGTTTCACCACGTTGACCAGGATGGTCTCGATCTCTTGACCTCGTGATCCACCCGCCTCGGACTCCCAAAGTGCTGGGATTACAGGCTTGAGCCACCGTGCCCGGCCCATGTTTCTTGTTTGTAGTATTAGAAATGGTCCAAAAGTACCATTGTAATTTTGAATGTATTTTTAACAGCATGGTAAAATATATGCCATGTGGTAATAGTAGTCTTTGTTTCCATTTAAGCTTTGGCAAATCTCGTTAGAACTAATTAGTATTAAAAAAAAAAAACTTGTAGAAAAGTTTCAAAAGTATATATTATAAAATGTTTTAAGGGCAGGGCACAGTGGCTCATGCCTAATCTCAGCACTTTGGGAGGCCAAGGCAGGAGGATCACTTGGCAGGGGGATCACTTGAGCCCAGGAATTTGAGACCAGCATGGGCAGCATAGCAAGACCTTGTTTCTACTTAAAAATAAATAAATAAATAAATTAGCCAGACAAGGTGGCATGCACCTGTAGTCCCAGCTACTAAGGAGGCTTAGTGGGAGGATCACTTTAGCCCAAGTCAAGGCTGCAGTGAGCTATGATCTCAGCATTGCACTCCAGCCTGAGTGACAGAGCAAGACCCTGTCTCAAAAAATAAATAAGTAAAAATCAAATATTTTAAGCAATATCTGAAATACCTTACAAATAAATTTAGTTTTTCATGAGTAGATTGCCTCACCCCTTTATTAATTAAGTTATGGCAATAATAACTATAAATTTGATTTGTACACTGAATTACATTTTAATAAAATGATTTTTACTTTTATAGGAATTTAAAACTAACATTAATTTTGCATTGTATTGTGTTCAGTATTTTTCCAAAGTTTGTCTATTTGTACAAACTTTGTTTAAAAAAAAAAAACCTGACAATTTAAAAATCTTAATGGAAATGATTTCCTGTCTCTTTTTTAGGCAACAAGTAACAGAAATTATATTTGTTTTAAAAGCAGTCAGTACTCTTATTGATTCACTTAAGAAAACTCAGCCTGAGAATGGTAAGTGCTTAGAAACTCAGTTATTCTATCATAACATTTATGTTCTATTTGTTAACCGAATTATATGAACATAATAGTCATTAGACTTTTTTCCTCCAGTTCTCATGACAACAAAGCATCAAGTTCATTAGGATGTCAATTAAGTAAAATTAATTTGTAATGTTTTCATTTTTTATGGAACAGTTTACCTGACTTTTTTTCTTTAATAAGTTGTTCTGAAGTCAGGGTATTGCAAGAACAATCTGTGTTTCACATAATTTTAATGTAGAAGATCATGTACTTACTTGGAGAGAGGTGGAAAAAGGGCTTTATCTTCTAGTTGTACTGATTTACTTTATAGATACAAACTGTATAAGTAATTTTGAATCATTTTTTATCATTCTTTCCCATTTGTTTGCCCTTTCTGTTATTCATTCCTGTCCAGTCCACCCTTTACATGATAGCTGGAAATGATTTTTTTATAGTAGGGCTTTGATTGTTTATTTCCTCACCCTCTCAAAACAAAAAATTATTTTTCATTTACCATTTCCTACCAAATTGCAAAGAATACTGCAATCTGACTTCATTCTAGTCACACTTTATTTCCCACAACAGACTTCATTTCCCCTGCTATCCACTAAACTAATATTCTCAATCTTCCCAAGTTTTTCCAGCCTTTTGTTTATTCCATTATTCTGCTTGTATCAGCCTATTTGGAATACCACCCTACTTTTAAACCTTGTTTTTAATCTCTTAAAGGTAAATAATTTGTCTTTTTCATTTAACTCAAAGCATTTTTATGTATACTTGTCTCGAAGCACTCTATTTGTACTACAGTTATGCATATACATGACTCACCTCCCCTTAAATGTTAAGGGGAGAGATTAAGATTTTTGAGAGTCTTTTCAGACCATATTTTGTTCTGTTTTGAATCCTCTAAGCATTGCTTTTCTAAGTATGGTTTGTTGGACCAGCCATTGATTTGACTTCAAGAGTTTGTTACTGGTCTGGGACAAAATAGAGAGCTACCATCAGAATATAAATCAATTTTCACTAAACACGCTGCTTGGTTCATTGGGCACTTTTTTTATGCAAGAAGACATTGCTAAAGAAGAAAGCAGTGTGTTGGTTTACTTTCTGGCACAAGCTTCTTATTTTGTAGCAGATTGGCACCTTAAAGACCATTACTTTTATAATACCTAAGAAAAAAGGAGATTCCTAGTCAATTCTAATGAATGAGTTGTAGGATATTTGTTCTTGTCAACTATTACATAAGTGGAGTAAATACATATTTTTCTTTTGTTAAAGTATATTCATTGGTACTTTGGCCTAGAAGGGGTATTATAATAAATCTTAAGAGGCAGTACACTTGTATTTATACAACCCAAAGAGATGGATGGAATTTCTAAGAAAAAGCCTGGGGCAATGTCCTGAATTTATCCCATTAGAGTTCAGATTTGGGTTTTCTTAAAAAAGTGTTCTGGGCTGGCACAGTGGCTCACGCCTGTAATCCCAACACTTTGGGAGCCTGAGGTGGGAGAATCGCTTGAGCCTAGGAGTTTGCAACCATCCTGGACTATGTAGTCAGACCCCATCTCTCTCTCTTTTTTTTTTTTTTTAAAAGAAGAACCAGAATGTGTATAAAGCGAGAAAAAGAAGCAAAAACTCAGTAACTTTTTTTTACAAAACCAATAGGTTATATGGATAAGGCAGTGTAGTAATAGATGATCTAACTAAATGAATGTTAAAAATTGTTTAATAGAGTTAGGATTATGTCTCTGGGTCTATGAAGTGAAAATTTAAATTGAATGTAAGCATATAACATGATGATGATATAACATTTGAAATGCTGTGGTAAGCTTCATTAAGAAAAAAGACTTCATTATTTGTTCTGGGGCTTTTTTGTGAAAGAAGATGCATTTGTTAGACTTATTTTTGTTTGGGGAGATTTTGGGGGTTTTTTTGTCTGTTTTGAGACAGACTCTCGCTCTGTCCCTCAGGCTGGTGTGCAATGGTGGGATCTGTACTTACTGCAGCCTTGACTCCTGGGCTCAAGTGATCCTCCCATCTTAGCCTCCCAAATAGCTGGGACTGCAGACATGTACCATCACACCCTGCTAATTTTTTTGTATTTTCAATAGAGATAGGGTCTTGCCATGTTGGCCAGGCTGGTCTTGTACTCCTGAGCTCAAGCAATCTGCAAACCACTGCGCCCCAGCCGAGATTTTGTTTTTATCACTTTGCTTGACCTTTGTTTAAAATTTTAAATAGGTAGCATACATATACATGGTCCAAAAATCCAAAACTGTAAAAAGATATACAGGGAAAGTTTTAATTTGATCTTTTCCCGATTCTCTATCTGCCCAGTTCTTACTTTACCACAGACAACCATTTTTATTAGTTTGTGGATCCCTCCAGAAGGTTATTATCTAAATACAAAATACATGTTCTGATACTCCTCCATCCTTGTTTTGTACTAAAATGAATATGCATAATAGCCCCAAATCATATATCTTGTTCTGAACCTCTTTTTTTTCATTTAACAGAATATTATGAAGATTCTTATCAATTCATATAGCTTTTTTATTCTTTTTGATGGTTAATTCCAAAGTCCTCAAGTCCTCACAAAAGTATTTTAAAAAGCATTATATATTATAATATATATATTTATATATACTAAATACATGTAAATTTATATACTTTTATATATTTTTAATGTTTAATATATTTATATTTTAAATACATAATTATATTTATATATTTAAATATATATATTTATATTTGTATATTTAAATATATAACTATATATTAAATATATTTTGTTGTTGTTGTTTATTTGAGATGGAGTCTTGCTCTGTAGCCCAGGCTGGAGTGCAGTGGTGTGATCTCAGCCTACTGCAAACCTCCACCTCCCAGGTGTAAGCAATTCTTCAGCCTCAGCCTCCCAAATAGCCGGGACTACAGATGCTCGCCACTATGTCTGGCTAAGTTTTGTATTTTTAGTAGAGATGAGGTTTCACAATGGTGGCCAGGCTGGTCTCAAACTCCTGACTTCAGATGATTCGCCCTCTCAGCCTCCCAAATTGCTGGGATTACAGGCATGAGCCACCGTACCAGCCTAAAACATATTTTAAGAAATTTGAGTAACTTCCTTTGAGATGCCGTCTTAATGTACTTTTGTGTTTTACCATGATAAATCAAGGATTCATTTGGTCAATTGACTCTCCATCTGGGACAACCTAGATAGGTTTAAATCTGTCTAATATTTTGTTAAATGATTACTGTAAAGTTTCACAGGAGACAACTGAAGCAGACTTTTTTAAACTTCTTAGACAGTGGCTTTTAGACTTTTGTATTCTGCTAAGCAGCAAAATACTTTTTACAAATGAAATGTGATGTGAATTTCCAACATATTAAAACAGCGAAAAGCAGAACGGCTCCAGCCTGACTCCTCATCCTCAGCAGTACCCATCAGCCCTATTCCCCATTTCTTCTTATCACACCCACCCTGAGGAAGCCCCTGTTTGGGAAAAGAGGTTAAATTAACAGTATAGCATTTTCCAAGATATGTACTAAGGCATGAACATTGATGATGCGTGATGTCAGTAGATATTGGATGGAAAAAAATTCCATAATCAAATTAATTTTGGGAACACTGGGTTAATTTTAATCTGTTCTTTTACTATAAGCCCTTAATAAATTAATATGAATAATTAGTCTCCAAAAGATGAGAGATATGCAAACATCTGCCAAACTACTTTATCATGAGCTTTTTCCTAGGAAGTAAACTGAGGAACACTAGTTTGAGAAACTCATTTATTTTACATTGGAAGAAGTGAGATAAAGACAAATTAAATGACTTGATCAGGGACACCCATCGTTCTTATTTCAGAAGGAATTTTAGGCAACTGACACCCAGTAAATTGAAGTGAAAAACAGAATCAAAGGTCTTCACACATAGTATTTGTTTTCCTTTATACTATAATACCACTCAGATTTGAGACTTGTTTCACAAAATTTTAAAAATATCTAAATGTCTAAAAACTATCTTTCATATTGGTTGCCCAACATTATGCACAATACTTATAGGAAAATATAACTAATTTGGACATACTTTTGTCCATTCAGTAACAGTAGCATTCAGCTGTACTATTTGTTCATGATAGTGGTGAGGAAGGCAGGCATGGTTCCTTCCCACTCAAAGTCTACATCTAGTGATGTACATTAAAGATTAGCAAACAGTACAAGACAAGAATGGATCTGTTTGTGACAATTTATAATTATATTACTAAATCGTTGACCATAATTTGTATTTCAAAATATTTCGACTTTTAGCAGACAACTGAAAAGTTATTTTCTAATGATTGCAATGTACACTGCATCCTCTGGCAATTATACTAAAAATGACAAAGGTTTGGATTATTCTGAATGACTTCGTTAACTTTCAGAGCCTTTGCAAATTGAAATACCATTTAAAATGTACTTTATCAAGTTTATTGTTACTAATGACTGCACACTCAGCATATATTTTTCTCATACTTTAATAAATATAGCAGAAAATGCTTCAAAAATTAAAAAGATAAAAAGATACAAGCTTGTAGAAGCTTCATATTTCAGAATTTTTTCTTTACATTCAGTTTAAAGGATTGTGTTCATGTTAATTGAATAATCTCTGCTATTTAATTCCACTCTTTTGAGGTTTTATACCTTTGCATTACAGTTGATGGAAATACCTGGGCACAAGTAATTGCCTTATACCCAACTTTAGTAGAATGCATCACCTGCTCTTCTTCAGAAGTCTGCTCTGCACTTAAAGAAGCACTAGTTCCCTTTAAGGATTTCATGCAACCACCAGCATCCAGAGTTCAAAATGGAGAATCTTGACCAGCTACAGTATATTTGAAAGAAGAAAGATATTCTAAAAAATGTTTGCTCCTAACTGAATCTTCTGTGAGAAGGACATTTCTTACCACAAATAATTCTTGGCAGCTGTTGTTGGCCTTCTTTAGATTCTACTCACCCAAGTTCAGTAATTCATATTACAAGCTTGCACATCTAACAAAGGCCCCTGAATGAGTAGCAGTGCAAGCCTTTAATAAATTAAACTGATGGGATGGATAATTAATACTACAGTATACATGCTACCGTATCTCCAGTTGGTGATTTAAAGTGAGCTTATGTACAGTTTGTGGTGTATCTGTTAATGATGTACTTTTTAAAAAGAAAGAAGAGATACTTCAGTCAGATTTATTAGGCTGGTGTTTTTGCAACCTTTTTCAAGTACAAAATCGTACTAGAATTTTATGCAAGATGGTACTGTAACATTCCATATTATCTATAACCAGCCTTTATTAACAAAGGGAATTGATATACTTGTGTGTATAATAAATGGTACAGTTCTGTATAAAATAGTTGCATTTATTTAAATTTTAAAAGTATTGATAATGTTAAATGCTTAAAGCTCTATTTATTATTAATACAAAATTGTTTGCTTATGTTTTTACTTATAATTTGCCTTCTTATGTGGCAGATAAGCTCACTATATGATCATGCAGTTAGCCTCATGCTTATTTTAAATGTATATTAGTGACCATTAAACATCTGACCAGTAAGGTCATGTGAACACAGCAGCAAATAGTTTATGATTTGCTGGTTTTGCAACTTCGAAATATAGGTTATTAATACATTGATATATATTGTAGCACTTTGACTTCATCATACCTCATTTCTTTAAACAGCTCTCCAAGCTTTCACTGAAGTCTGTCTGATTTTTATATTTGCTGTCTGAATTTTAAAGACTTTTCATATTTTATATTTCTACTGATTTTGTTTCCCCTGACAACATTTGTCACTGTCTTTGAATTACGACCCAGGCAAGATGATTTCAGATTTTCTAAAATTTTGCCTGTGAGGTTTTGTTCATTTCAGTGCTTCATTTTGTAATGTCTTCTCAAGAAGAAAAATACCTATGTTAACTCACAAGTATAAAATGTGTGTGTATATAAAACAATGAAAAGTGTATTTTTGGAGATAGTCAAGCATTTAGAAGTGCAGTGAACTTGCTGTAATGGAGTAAAATGCTAATTATGTTTCACTTCCTATCCTAGTGAAAAAGAAAAGTGCTCTTGAGTACAATAACTTAATTATTTCTTAAAATACTGACTTTGACCTAGCTCACTGTATTTTTTATTTAATGGATTACAATATTTTTCTTCTGAGTTAAATTTTCATAATTTATGTGAAGACACAAAGATGTTTAAAACAATGATTATTCATAAGAAATCATAATGGTGTTGGTATTATTTTAGTGTATTGGAAGGCTTTTGATTTTAATAGAATTTATTAATTTGAGCTTCTCCATAATAATCATAAAACTGCAAAAAGATATTAGAATTGAGTCATGAATGAGATACAGTTTTGAGGCTATTATAATTGTGTAATTATTTAATTTGCACTATTATCTGTAAAAATGTGGTAAGGTCTTCATTTGAGGGGATTTTTTTATTTACATGAGTTAATGAATTTCTATTATTTCACCTAAAATTAAGGTAAAATGTGGCATTTCATAAGTTCTGCTTTCAGCATTTTCCTTAAATTTGTAAAAAGTAATCATTCAAGCTGTGTACTTATTTTCTATCTTTGGGTATGTTAAATTGAGGATTAGAAAAATCCACATAATCACTGATAAAGCATTGAAACAGAATAACCCAAGGGTAGTGTACCAATTCAGTAACATGTTAAAAATATTGCCATGCATTTATTCAAAGGAAAATGGTCTATTCTTGAGAAGTAACAGATCAGTTGCAATTAGGATAATTAAATAGTTAAATGTGAGTCAAGTGTATGCAATATGCATTTATATGAGCAGAGTAATTTGAGCTAATACTGCATTAGCATTCTTTATCAGGACCATGCCCTGCAGTTCAAAACATAAACATAGTGAATGTGTTATTGCCATGTAATAAGGTAATCAATGCCAGTCTTAGTGTGGAGCAACTGGGTGGCCCTCTTGGTAGTATAATTTGACAGACTTTTCCTCCAGAATATTTCCGGTTACCCTCCAAGAGTCACTTCTGTAATTCATTCCCTTGAGTCAAACATTCCTTTAGGTTGCATTTTCTAAAATATTCTGATTGCTGGTATGGAACACATTGCCCTTGTCTTGTTAGTACAAATTGGGTTCTTTAGTGACCAGAAGAACTGGAGTGTGTGAAATTACTAGATAGCAGGAGATTCAAAAAGAAAGCTCTCAAAGATAAGATTATTTTATAGCACGATTGATTCTATAACCAGCCCTTGAAACAGAAGTAAAAATGTCCTTTGGGATACTTACTAGAAATACTATGAGGTGTTTTTTTTTTTTTTTTTTTTCGATTTAGATGGAGTTTCGCTTTGTCGCCCAGGTTGGAGTGCAGTGGCATGATCTTGGCTCACTGTAACCTCCATCTACCAGGATCAGGTGATTCTCGTGCCACAGACTCCTGAGTAGCTGGGATTACAGACATATGCCACCATGCCTGGCTAATTTTTTTGTAATTTTAGTAGAGATGGGTTTTCACCATGTTGGCCAAGCTAGTTTTGAACGCCTGACCTCAGGTGATCTGCCCGCCTTGGCCTCCCAGAGTGCTGGCATTACAGGCATAAGCCACCACGCCTAGCCAAGAGAGTTTTAAGCCTTATGTCGTCACTTGTTGTCACTGACAGTGCCTGTCTTATACAACAAGTATATGCCAACAATTGTATGATTCATAAAGCATTTTTCTGACCATTTTGTCCATTATAAAGGAATTAAGCTAATTGTTAACTTGCACAGATTACTTCTTAAGTTTCCTATAATGCTACCACTGCCAAGGGAAAAAAATACATCATTTTGTAATGTCTTTAGTATTTCTTTATAACTAGTGTTAAGGTTTTGTCAATTTTACTGTATACATTTGTAACATGTATTTATTAGAAGCCTTTTAGGTTCCAAAACAAAAGGCATAAAGTCTGGCTTAGAGAGAACCACTTTTCACTTGCTTTCATTTTTAATTTTATTCACTTAACAGCTAACATCTCTCTTGTTTCTTGTTTTTTCTGTATATGGTTATCAATTCAACTCTTTTTATACTTCTTAAATTTGTATGTATCATCAGAAGACAGAGATGAACAATTTGGTATAGATGTTTTATTCTGGAGAATAATATTCAGTTAAATTATTTCTACAGTAGGCCAATAATAACTAGATTATTTGTCCTTTCTCAATATATTTTAAAAAGTATTTTGTTTTATTGTCAAAATTTGGTACCAGGTAACCATTGGGCCAAAGGAACATCAGTTCTGAAACTAAGGATGAGTTAGCATAAGTTATGGAACAATGTTAGAAAATAACTCAAAAGTATATTCTTTATTAATGAGGTGATCATTATTACATTTGTGTCAGTTAAGGGCAGTTATTTTATAATGTCTAGTATTTTCTCCCCAAATGTGTAACAATTCAGATGGGCAACCAAGTTTTCAAGAGACTGCTCTAGGTGAAGTCTGTGTAGCCAAGGCAGAACACTTACAGGAGCCCCTAACTGTGCCACCCTTGGAATGGAGGCAGTGTATAGGCCCAGAATATTGTGGATTACAGTTTTTCGTAGAAAACTGCCAGAGATGTAGACAGAAATGGTCTCTGAAACCATTGCCAGCAGCCGGTTATGTTCGTTAGATTTCCACTTAGGTTTGGCATTTTGGCAGATAATGCTGATCTTGTATAAGGTGTCACATTTTACTATGCTTAGTGTTTCTGGGTTGTATTTATCTACATTATTAGAGAGAATTTTGCTTTAAAAAAATTATAAGAAGAATGGGAGTTCATACCACATAGTATTTTACCAATTTATATAAAGTGGGAAAAGTCTTTAATACTTCATGATCACTTGAATTAAATTTTTTGTATCTCTGGAGAGTAGAATAGTGCTTTCATTTGAATGAAAAGTGTTTACAGATTCAGAAAGAGAGATAATGTCTTTGTATCTTGATTTATATACAGACTATTTCAGAAGAGGTTAAATGTCTTACAAATCCAATAATTTCTAATGCTCTAACAGTGTTGGCTATTTAAAAGAACATATGGCAAGTCCTATATGAATATTCTTGGTCATCTCAATTAATTCTGAGGCAATGATGAACAGAGACTCTACCTCTTATTTAACTCTACACATTGACTTTTCAAAGTTGTTTCCGTATTTCTAAACAAAGATGATAATGAGTTACTAATTCTTTAGAGGAAAAAATGCATAATTTGAGTGTGGAGTTGATTTTATAATGACATTAGGGTAATTATTCAAGTTTCATAAATTTACTACTATATCATAAGAGAGATCTTTGACTACTTTTCTTCCTTTTTCTTGGACATCACTTTCTGTCCTCCCTCTTCTCTCTTCTATGTTTTTTTCCTTGCTAACTTTTATGTTTACGTTACTTCTCTTTTCATTCTATATTTCATTCTATATTTTTCTCTTTTCATTCCCCTTTCATTCTTTGCCTCTTCTCTTTCAGCTCTTTCCCTAATTGTGCCTATTGCTTCTTCATAAGAAGTGGAGCCTTTACTGCTCATTGCCTTTCTATTAAATGAGATTCTAGAAATACTTTCCCCTTTGGCCACTGTTGCGTTTTTGTAAGATAAAGTTCCCATGCCATTTTGAAATAGCTGAACAAGTTAAAGTAATTTGTTCCAAAAACTGGAAGTGCCATGGAAAACTAAAAATAAAAAATAATAATTTGTGACTATAACTCCTACTGTCTTTATGAATACATGGGATTCAGCATCCAAGATGCTCACAAAATGGGATTGCTATAAATATGATGGATTCAGCATCTGAATTGGTAACAATCATATTTTTTATGATGTGGATAGAGAGATTATACATCTTTTCTCAAAGTAAAGTATTTAAAACCTGCTTAAATGAGTGTTTGGCTGGAATGGTGGCCCACACCTGTAATCCCAGCACTTTGGGAGGCCAAGGTGGGAGATCACTTGAGGCCAGGAGTTTGATACTAGCCTGGACAACATAGCAAGATTCTAACTCTAGTTCCATTTTTTCTTCCTTTTTTTTTTTTTTGAGACGGAGTTTCTCTCTGCTGCCCAGGCTGCAGTAAGTAGCATGATCTCGGCTCACTGCAACCTCTGTCTCCCAGGTTCAAGCAATTCTCCTGCCTTAGCCTCCTGAGTAGCTGGGATCATAGGCGCGTGCCACCACACCCAGTTAATTTTTGTATTTTTAGTAGAAACAGGTTTCACCATGTTGGTCAGGCTGGTCTTGAACTCCTGACCTCGTGATCTCCCTCCTGCTTCTGCCTCCCAAAGTGCTGTGATTACAGGCGTTAGCCACCGTGCGCCAGCCAAGAAAATTTTTTTAATTAGGATTTTCTTTTTTTAATGATTTTGGGAGTGGGGGAGATCTTTGTTTTCTGAGGCAAATGCTTTAAACTATTTTAGATTTATGCCATCTTAATATTTATTGATTTGTAATATTAACACTGCCTACTTACAGGAAGGATTTGAGGCAGCTTATTGCCCATGTATTTCAACTATATTCATTTTTCTGTTGCAAAGCAGTATTTGATGGAGGATCTAGAATCTTATAGTTCTCATATCTGAGTCTTTGTAGGGTGTATTTGTTATCTGTGTGCCTGGTACTTACAGTTCACCCAAAGGTCAATTGAAACATTCCTAATGATGCTGTGGTATTGATTCTGGCCCCTCAAGTATGAGATTATTATATTTGAGACCATTTTCAGTTGCTGTGAATGTAGTTACACTAAGTTTTATTTTAAACTAAAATTAAATAAATAGTGCAACCAGGGAAGATCTGCTAAACCATGCCATTATTTGAAAAATCATTGCAATATATTAACAACTGCTTCCTTCTATGAAGTTTTACTAGATGGGAGAAAAAAACTCCATAGCTATAATATTGCAATTTTATTTTTATCTAGAAAAATAAAATATTAGGCTTCAGACCCAACTGTGCAAATTTCATTTGCTTTTCATCTTTTACTACTACCTCTGTGTCATAATTTAACACATAACATACAACTCCTGTCTCTGAAGGCAGCTACCATATGGTGTTTATGTCAGACTGGATATATTTATCTAATTTTGTGAGATTCTTTTTTAGTTCCCAGCACAATTCTTGAAAATAATACACTGTTGTTACTCTTTCTCCTTACAATTTTTATGTTATTGAGATGTATCAGTTATGTATTATAATCATGAAAGTCTATTAGCCTCAAACCCAAAATTTCTTTGTAGTCTAGGATACATTTTTCATGAAAGCTATATAGTTATAATTATGATTGTATAGATCATTTATTTGCTTTACAGTCACCACTAAGCATGATTCCAGGTTTGTAATTATATTCCAGTAATACTAGCATTTCTTTATAACTTAAAATCATAACCACTTTCATCATTTACCTTTAGATCTGACAAGTGATTTATTTTCTTGACTATGTTTGCTTTCTCAACACCGTTAGGTCTGAAACATTATTGACACCCCACATCACTTACTCTGTTTAAAGACTTTATAAGTAGTAATTCACATATGTTTAGGATGGTCAGTTTGGGGGAAAAAATTATAGAATAAAGGGGAAATGTTCTTGAGCTTTATTAAAGCTATTAATATATAAAATGAAAAATATGAAACAATCAGCAGAAGACACGAAGTGTGTCTGAATAGTTTAGAAAGAAAGATTTGGAACCTTGAGTTAAAATGCTAGGTCAAGTAAAAATCTTGATGTAGATTAGATTCTTTTAATCTAATGAGCATTTTTTTTTTTTTAATTTGGTGAGGCTGTTTTGAAACTGCCTATCCATATCAATGCCAGACTGTCTCTCTGCATCTCAAAGAAAATAATTTGCTTTAAAACTCCTTTTTTTTTTTTTGAGTTATGTAATGAAAGGATAAAACAAGAATTTCTACATTTTTCTGTGTACTACAGTCAGTTAAAATAATTTTTCTAATTCCTAATTTTAACCACCATTTTTGGAATACCTAGTATGTGGAGGCCAGGGCTTTAATCCTCAAAGTAGTCTTGCAAATAAGTTATTCTCATTTTACAGAAGTCAAGGATTAGGGGTTGAAGTGAGTTGCCTAGAGTCACACGCCTTAAGTCGAGGTGGACCACTGTGTCTTGCTTTTTCAAAAGCAGTTCTTTTTACTACATTACAATAGTTTCATGTTTTACAGTCCATTAAAATGAAGACTTATAAACTAAAAATACTCTTGAGGCAATTACTGTTTCTATGACAGGCATTGGGACAAACATACTTGAACATAATAAAGAATTTCAAATACTGTGGGGAAAAAAAATTCATCTTAATAATGATGACCTTGAAAGTTGCATCAGGTTTTTATTATTCGTCCAGGTTTAAAACATTTTATCTGTTTAAAACAGATGTTGCGTGTTTTAAGAAGATATGTTATAAATAACAGCATAGTGGTTAAGAGGCCAGAGTCTGGGGCCAGACTTTTTAAATTCAAATCCCAACTCTGTTCATTACTAAATGTGTGACCTTGGGCAAGTTAATTAATCTGTTTTTTGTGTCCTCCTCTGTGAAATGGAGTTAATAATGGTATTTAATGCATGGAGTTGTTTATTAGAATTAGAAATGGAGTGTGTTGTTAAGCCCTGTGCCTGGAGCATCATTGCCACTAGGTAGTTAGGGAAGTAAAATGGGCACACATCATTCAGTCATGGCGAGAAAAATCTACGTCCTCCCATAATGGAGACCAATTTTTTGCCTTTTACTGGACAACCGCTGAATATTAAGAATCTACTGTGTGCCAGTAACACTGTGTCCTTGCTGTATGTGACAGACACTATTTGGAGCTCTCCAGTGCTTATAGCTAGTCAAGGAAACCACATATATAAAATAATACTGGATACAACACTATACAATTAAGTACTGGTGTATCATTAACAACTTTTTAGACCCTATTTTGTGTTAGGCATTGGGTTAGTCTCTGCCCTTATAGAGTTTACAGCTTTACAGGGAATATAGACCTTTTAACAAGTATGTAAAGTACAGTAAAAGGTAAGTACAGATCAAAATAGGATCGTAAAATAGGGAAACAACATAGTTTTCTATGGTTCAGGTTATTATTACTGTTAGTATTCAGAGGACGTTTTTTAAAGAAATGAAAAGGCTCAGTGGTGAAGATAGAACTTAAAGTGAGTCTTGATGGCTACCTGGATTTTGGATGAGTTCAAAGGATTTATGGGGCAGATTTCAGGCAAAGATAATGTGAGCAAGTCTTATTTGTGAAATAGAAAATAGTACATTATGGTGTGTGGTGTGAAAACAAGGTTGACTGTGAAGGATTGGGTCCCTTCATAAAATTCTTTGAAAGCTAAGGAGAGTGTTTTAGATTTGAGATAGCCGGGGTTTGGAGTGATTTAAGAATAAATTATGAAACCAAGGAAGATAGGTATATACAGTATGGAAAGCTAAGGTAGGAAGCTGTTGCAATTTTCTTGCTATGAGTTGACAAAGGATTGAGTCACTGATGGTGGTAATACTCAGAAAGGATACTTAAGATTCCTGATATGAGGGGAGGAGAAAATGTTGATGTTAATACATTATATGTGGGTGATGAGTATACTGGTGTTAGCAGGGTTAAAAACAGATTATGGAAAGAAATCTAAGTGATAAAGTAGTGTAATGACTGAATTTAGTTGGAAACTTTACTGCTCTAACAAATCTGTATACCATAGACCAAACAGCTGTTTAATGGCCATTTAAAAATCTGTGTCATTATGGCAAAGGATATTTGCTTTGGTGCAGAATAATCTGATCCACTGTGCAGTGAATGAGCAGTGAGGGTTGATGTCCATGGCAGCCCAATCTTTGCTTATCAAAGAAAGATGGTATGACGTTTCTACAGACTTTCTGGTAAGTGATTGATAAGTGAGTTTCTGCTTTGTCAAGTAAAGCAGTTAATTGCAAATGTATAATGTTGACGTAAATAAATATTCTTAATTGGAAATGGTTCTGATTGGATTTTCCAAAGTACCTTCAGTAGTTGCTTTAAAAGGCTTAAATTAGCCTAACATTATCTGTCAGTTAGTGGGCATAACCAAATATATTTCACTTTCTGAATATGCAAGTAAAAATACTGTTACATGTTAGGCAGGCTGATTTTTAACTTGGAAACTTGTACTTTTAGTACAGTAAAATGGTATCAGTGGAGTAAAGAAGAAAAATAATTTTAAAAAAAGAAAACTTGTACTTTAAGAAACTGTTAGGGTCTCATCGCCTATAGAAACAAAAAGCCAGTTATTTTTTAAATTGCAGTGAAACTCTTGGCCAAGAGGATCTGTTGTCCAAAATTACATCGTGATGGCTTAAGAAAAAAAAAATCTTATTTTGCCAAAAAGGGAATTATACAAGGATATCCTTATGCGTTGCTGCCAAATATTGTCCTAGACCATAGCCCTCTGGCCTCCATGAAAGGAAAGTCTGAGCAAAGAGAACTATAAATTGCTTTTCTAACAGTTTTCATTTCCCTCCATTCCTTATTTTGGCATCAGCAGTCTGGGAGTAAGGCTAATGGGGGGATGCCAGATGTAGTCATTAAAAATAGAGAATGCAGTTAAATTGGAGTATCAGATAAACAATTTAAAAAATATATGTAACATATGCCAAAAAAACTGGTTATCTGAAATTCCAATTTAACTGGGGCGTCCTATATTGTATCTTACAAGCCCTAACTTTTTCTTTAAAATAATTTGCTAACTTCCTACAAAAAATCTCTTAGGAGGGGGGAAACAGTCCCGTAAGTTGTCTGGGCCAAAAGCAGAAGCAGCTCTATAGCAGTCACCTTCTCCCTAACTTGGTTTAAAAAGAAAAAGCCAAAACCACAAGTCCCAGGAGTTTGCGTTTAAAGCGAGCTGTGCCGCAGCTTTCCCGCCTGTTTTCTGCGGAAGCTAACACGGCGACCACGCCGCGCGGTTGGGGCGCGCACGGTTGTGTCCTTGCTGGATGCGAAAGGAGGTGCCGGAAACTTCAAACCCCGGCCAGGGTACAACGTGTCCGGTAAGGCGGCGGTAAGCGCCGCCATCTTCTTTGCGGGCAAAGGCCGAGAAAAGTTTGGGATCCAGTTTCCCCCGCTGAGGCGACGGAGGCCATAGACCGCGGACCCACACTCCGGTGACGTGGAATCGGGGTCTCCCTTTCGGGGCTGACTTCTCATGGCACGTCGAAGCTTGCCAAGGCGGGGAAAAGGGACGCCGCCTCTGTCCCGGATGTAAGATGGCGACGCGGGGGGGCGGCCTGGCGGGGTGGTCACGTGGGGAGGAGTAGCGCGCGAGCCTCCTTAAGTGATCTCTAAGGTTCGTCCGGACGCACAGGAGCAGCAGAGCGCGAGACGGGTCGTCTGTCTGCGCGCGTCGAGTCGCCGCCGTTGCCACCCGGGCCACCGCCGGGCCCGGTTTCAGTGTTAAGGGGTTTTCGTTTGTTCTGTTTTCGCCTCCTGCAGAGCTGAACGGGATTTCCCCGAAGGGTGCTGGGGAACGGGTGGCCTGGGGACTTCCCGGCTACGCCTTGGCTGCTATTTCGCGGAGCCGGCGGCCGCGTCTGCGGGATGTGTCCCGACGTTCGTCCGCGCGGAGAGCGGGCCGGCGGCGGGTGCGGCAGCGCGGCGTGGGTGGGGGCCCGGGTGCCGGGCTCGGCCGTAGCCCAGCCCCCACCGCGGGCTCGGAGCAGGGAGGGGCGCGGGCGGCGCAGCTCGGGACGTGGCGGCAGCTCCTGGCGGGCGAAGCGCGGGAGAGCTGCTCGCTGCCTCTCGGGCGCCGTCCAAAACCAGTTGGTGTCTCACTGCGCTTTTGCCGCCCATTTTCTGCTTTCGAGCGGCTGAGGCGACGCGCTCCCCTCGGGGCACTGGAGGGAGCGGCTTTCTCCGCAAGACACCACCGCCTTTTTCTCTTCAGAGCGGGGGCTGACGTAGAGAACGCCGGTTCTAGCACCCGGGTCCCGGCGCCGCCTCCAATCCCCGTAGCTCTCGGTTCGCGCCGGGAGCAGGCGAGCCGCGCGGCGCTGGGCGGGGTCTCCGGGCGCGGCGTGGCGCGACGGGGAAGGGAAAGGAAAAGAAGGGGCTTCGAGCCGACGTCGGCGGCGAGGAAGGACCGAGGAGCGCCAGAGCCGCTTTGCTGCCCTCCGCGTGGTCCCCTGCCTCCCCGACACCATGGCCCTGGCTGAGGTAGTAGTTTGTGCTGTTGGTCGGGTTGTGACATTGCCCGCTGTGGAGATAACTGCGCAAGCTACTGCCTTGCTAGTGCTGGTGATGCTCAGCGCCGCGGAGGACAATGGCTGGGAATCCCCTTTGTTTTCCGGGGCGCTGCCTGGGGATAGCCGGCGAAGCCTCGGCGCCCGGCCGGCGCGTCCACCACGGAAACCGTTAGTTTCACATTTTCCTGGAAAAAGGAAATGCGGGGAGTCGGGTGGACTGCGATGCATTTTAAAGGCTGGGGAAGAGCGAATCCATTGGATTCCTTCACTTGAAGGAAGGAGTGGAATTGTGTAAGCTAATTGATGCAGATAACTTTTTCCACCCTGAAGAATTCTAACGCTTCTTTCAGCAGTTAATGCCAGATTTAGTGTGTACCTGTTTTACTTCATTCTTTAGCTGTAGGTTGGAGTGGAATGAGCGATCCTGCGGAATTAGCATTTGTAGGGGCAGAAGAAGTAGACCTGGTAATTAAACTTTATGCCTTAACGTTTTAGATCTGGTTTCTGATATGCTGTCTCCGTAAATCTGAGCGTGTCTTTAAAAATGTAAACCCAAAGCAATTTAAAGTTTCTCTTTAAACTTTGCAGCTCCGCTACTGAGAAGATTGAATTTATGTGTAGTTAATTGCACCATTCCGATATTTTAATGTATGAGGCAAACAAATAAATTTTACGTACAGTGTGCTGTGAATAGTTTTGGTTTTTGGTTTTTTTTTCTTTTTTGTTTAACCTCTGGGCTCAGATTCTGCTTGTGTGGTGGGTTGGTTTTTGGTTTTTATGGCCTTTGATTCTAATGTTATGTGGTACTTAAATACATAACTTTGAGTTTCTGTATGGGAGAAGAGGACTAGGAGTTGAAAGTGTGGTTTCTAGATTTGAGTTTAAAATCTAACAGTCATTTTGATTCCTGAGTGACCGCTACTCCTAATAGGAAAATATCGTTGCATAGAGAAGGTAGTTTGGATAACTAATGAAAATACTCGAAGTTCTAAATACCCTGAAGTCTGTGTGGAAAATAAGATACTTGTATTTTTACATTTTATTTTCACTAAGGGAAATAGGTGGTCAGTTTTAGTACTTTTCTTTGAAAACTGATCTGTATTTGATTTGTATAGAATAGTTTTGAATATAATGTAATCACAAGTTTTTGTGGTTTTCCGATGCTCAGTTGACAAAAAAATAAGGCACTCCTTTAAACCAACCAGACCCTTCAGTAGTTTGATGCTTTTGTCATTCAAAAGTGATCTAATATATGTACCTTGATTGAGTTTGGTTTCGCCTTGAGAATAACCTTAATCTGATCTCATCAGAATGGAGAGGCCTCATTGTGGGAAGGGTGGTGAAGAACCTTATCTTGAATCTTAAAATGCAGAAAATACTTGAATGTTGGCTCTTGAAGTGTGTTTTTCTTAATAGCAAAGCACAGTAAATTCAAGGCTTTATTGAGTACCTGCTTACTTAAATAATGCAAACCTCTGGGGTACTATGTCAAATCTTGGTTTATGGATAAATGAGTCATAACAGGCTAATTACACTATTATTTTTCAAAACACTTCATTCACCTAACCAAGCTAATCAACCCGCTACACTCTGACATTTTTTCTGGAGAATCAACAGTTGTTAATCTGCACCTCAAAGTATAACAAGTTCTGCTTGTAATTTATTAAACTTTAAGTGGATAAGCACGCCAGAAATGCTCAATGTCCTATATAGACAAACTATTCATACTTTATATCTTGTGCTTTTAAAGTAAATTACTATTTTAAAGTAACACTATTGCCCAAAGAGTAGTAACATTTTTGAGTTATTGGGTGTAAAGGTACTTTGAGAGGTTGACTGTTTCCTAGGTTACAAGAGAACATACTGCCACCAGCTGACTTGTTTAAGTCCCATAGCTATATTTCTGCTCTGATCTCCAATTTTAAAAGCGAGTCTGCTAATGACATTTCTCTACTCACGGACTGACTGAAAATTACCAACTGAATATTTTCCTTGTTGATAGTTTCTTACAAGGTGAATTTGCCTAATCAAAAATATAGCTTTCTGATCTTAGTATTATTGACATTTACTTGGTGCAATTAACTTTTTTGTTAAAGGTCTACTGTCAAGCATTTAAGTAATTTGTAGTTGCAAAAAGCCACTGATGGAAAGTAATAAGGTAGTAGTTTGAGTGCCCTTCTCAATAAATACATATTAAACCAAAGGAAAGCTGGGTTATGGTAATGACATTTTAATAAATGCCATCCTCAATTGGAAATGGAGACGATGTTATGGTATATAGGATCCACCATATGGAAAAGATTCTTGGAGAACACAGTTTTGCTTCATACTTCAAAGTTCCTGATTGCTAATCTTACATAGATAAGCTTTGTTTATAAGCTATTTTAAAATAACCTTTTGGCAGGTAGGCAAGATGGCGGGGGGCGGGGAGGGTCGTGCAAGGGTGCACTCAAGACTTTGTGTCTTGTGGAGTGGTCCCCAAAGAATTCCTGCCAGAGGCACCTGACAGCACAGATTAGCTCTTCAGTGTATAAGCACAAAGCACCAAAAAGGCTGAGATTTCCTCCCAGCTACACGCTTTCTCTCCCTATTGTTGATTACACTCCACCTGCTCCATGGTAAAGAAAGCTGACAAAGGAGGTGCTCTTAATTTCCTTTCCCACTGAATAATCCCCTCTGTAATGACTACAACAAAAGGTAAATAGAACAATCATCTTCAAAAATAAATTAGGCCAGACTGGTAATACCCAAAAGGAGAATTATGACCACTGTCATAAACTCTGAAGAGCCGTTGGTGCCACTGATATCTAGATAATTAAGCAAAAATTTGAAAATTGTCTCTAAGATTGTCTAAGTTCAGTAAGTGTTTTTGTTAGGTTATCACTGTTGGGCGCCATGTGGAGAGCAAAGTAATTGTATAGGTAGGTCATTGCCCCAAAGGAAAACAGGAAAGATGTTCGATGAAGTGTTTAAGAATCAAAATGTAATTAGCTGGGTGTGGTGGTGCATGCCTGTAGTCCCAGCTAAGGAGGGAGGACCTCATGAGCCCAGGACTTTGAGGCTGTAGTGAGCCATGATTGCACCACTGCACTCCAGCCTGGGCAACAGAGTTAGACTGTCTCCACCCCCCCAAAAAAAAAAATTAATGTGAGCTAAGTGCAGTGGTGTGCACCTATAATCCCAGGTACTCTGGAGGCTGAGGTGGGAGGGTCACTGGAGCCCAGTTGTTTGAGACCTGCCTGGACAAAATAGTTGAAATTCTGTCTCAAAAAAATAATCAAAATGTGGGTAGGTGAGAAAAAACATTAGTGACCTACTTCAGTTTTGAGACCTGGCGGAATAGTGATTGAACAATCAAAGGAAAGAAGTATGAAACACTTCAAATAGTATAGTATAGTAATTTAGGGAGTTCTGGTTATGTTTGTTGCCTGAGATCTTGGAGATGACGATTGTAGTTGATAATATTCTAGGTGATTTACAGTTTAATTTTGTATTATCTGCTACTCATACGCTGGGAATGTCATTGGAATTAAGAGAAATATTAGTAGGTCTACATGGAATATAGAGTGTTTTCTTATCTCAAGTTGAAAATTATATATATATATTTTTTTGGTTAAATTTCTGTTTTACAGTTATCTTTCTTTAAAAGTGCTGTTTGTTCAGATGTAATGGAATGGTACCTACACAGGATTTTTGGCCAATAAATTTGTGAATAGGGTCCTATTAAGGCATACCATTGACACCCTATAGTATAACTTGTCTTTTAGTTATATCAAATATGAGCAAACCTAAGATACAAATCCTGTGTTGTTTTTAATGATAAATTCTTAGTTCTTTCTTCTTACTAGATACCAAACAACACTTGCAGAAAATATATTATTTTCTTCCAATCAGGTTTACAAATTCTGTTAGTTCCATTGTAATGTAATTGAGAGTATTTTATCATGGAAGTCAGGAGTTCACAGAAAGCCAAACTGTGATATTTCACAGAAAATTAAAGTAAATTAAGGACTGCGAACTCCACAGACATTGACAGTTTAGATCATTTATGTAGTTGTAATGCTGTTTTCTGTTACACAGAAAAATCCCTTAACTGCTCTTTGGTTGAGTAATAAATATGTGTGTTTTATCTCACTGAGAACAACTACCAAAAAGGTATTAAGATTCAGAGATTGCTGTTTTAATATTCTGCACGTAGTATATTTTAAAGCCCTTGTTAAACAGAAGTATTATATAGACACAGGACATGGGCTAGTTTCAGTCATAATAGTAACACTGACTTAATGTTACCATAATAGATGGCAGAAAGAGCTGACTAAACTCTGAAAACATATGTAAGCAAATTAAAATATATTTTCCTGTTTTATAAACAAATTTACATTCTTTTTAACAAGAGTTTAGGCGAATAACCAGAATAAGAATCCTATCTGACATTCATTTCTTTTTGTAGTGAATGAAGCTTATACAGAATAAGTTCCAGATAAATTCATTTATTCATTTTATTTATTTAACAGATGCATCAAAAACCTATATGCCAGGTGCTGGGGATATACAGAAGATAAAACAACAACAACAACAAAAACCCGCTCCACATTATGGAATTCACATTGTAAAAGGAATACATTTCCCTATAATGATTACAGACATGTAGTGAGGACAATCCATGGGCCACCTTAGTTGTTTTCAAACCTGAATTCCACTCATACACCTATTCTAGAGCCCTTGCTCCAAAACCACTGTTGATATTGCAGCTGTATGTTTTTAAAAAGCCATTTCCCATTGATTTTTTTTTAATAATTGTACCTGCATTAAAAAAGAAGTGATAGTTTAGTTTCACCAGGGCTGTTTTCTATCCTCCCCAAACAGGATGACACTGCAGAAGGTATGTCACCTTTCAGAGCTTACGTTATTGTAACAGGTGCCCAACTACCTTGTGAAGAAATCTAGACTGCATAGCCAGATACCACATTTTATGATGTACACTCTAAACCTTGTAATAGTTTAAAGAAGCAGGAGTGCACTGTGAGTAGGTAGAGAATGTGTCTGTCTGGAGCAGAAATGTCAGATTTTTTTTAACAGCATAAGCTATGGAGAGCCTTGTGGGGCCTGAGAACAGGAAAGACAGAATCAAGTATCCTACCTTATATAATTTATAGCTTGGGGTAACTAAATGGTTGTAATGATTCCCTCATTACAGAATAAGTCCAGTTTCACAGTGCAGAAGATCTGATAGAAATAGAATGTTAACATTTACAGCAGCTCATGAAATAAAACTAGACTTCTTCAATGGCTGTCAATGGTTAAAACCATTAAGTAAAATGCTGATGGAGAAGTATTTAATTCATGGATCAGGCTAACCACACTCAAACTCACTGATCAATTTGAACATTACAAAAACAGAGATAACTAGATATTCTAGTTCAAATAATTGAACTACATGGTTTACTAAGACTCTAGACTCTCATCAGGTTTCTAGATCTGATGAGCAGTTTATTAGAAACTTAAGATATAGTGGAACATTTTTAAATCACAGGAGTGCAAGTAGAAAAATCACACTGTGAAATTCTACAGGACAAATCTGTTTTAAGAAAAAAAAAAAATTAGGCCGGGCGCGGTGGCTCAAGCCTGTAATCCCAGCACTTTGGGAGGCCGAGGCGGGTGGATCACGAGGTCAAGAGATCGAGACCATCCTGGTCAACATGGTGAAACCCCGTCTCTACTAAAACTACAAAAAATTAGCTGGGCATGGTGGCGCGTGCGTGTAGTCCCAGCTGCTCAGGAGGCTGAGGCAGGAGAATTGCCTGAACCCAGGAGGCGGAGGTTGCGGTGAGCCGAGATCGTGCCATTGCACTCCAGCCTGGGTAACAAGAGCGAAACTCCGTCTCAAAAAAAAAAGAAAAAAAAAAAAAATTTAAGGAAAAGGCAGGAAAACCTGTAGAGCAAGATTACTTTAGAGATATAGAGATATTTATTAGTTTGGCTGGGTGCTATAATCCCAGCACTTTGGGAAGTCAAGGCGGGCAGATCACAAGGTCAGGAGTTCAAGACCAGCCTGGCCAGCATGGTGAAACCCCATCTCTACTAAAAAAATACAAAAAAATAGACCGGGTGTAGTGGCTCACACCTGTAATCCAAGCACTTTGGAGGCCATGGCAGGCATGGATCACCTGAGGTCGGGAGTTCAAGACCAGCCTGACCAACATGGTGAAACCCTGTCTTTAAAAAAAAAAAAAATACAAAAAATTATGTGGGAATGGTGGCATGCACCTGTAATCCCAGCTATTTGGGAGGCTGAGGGAGGAGAATTGCTGGAACCCAGGAGGCAGAGGTTGCAGTGAGCAGAGATTGCACCACTCACTCCAGCCTGGACAACAGAGCAAGACTCCGTCTCAAAATTTAAAAAAGGATATTTGGAGAAATTTTTAAATTGACTGACTATTGGAAGTTAAATAGTAATTTTTGAAAATGGTATTGTGGTTATATTTTTTTAAATCTTTTGGTATATACATATTAAATAGTTTACTAATGAATAATATGATGTTTGGACTTTGCTTCATACTTTAATTCATGGGGGATGGGAAGACACATGGGAGTACATAGGAAAGAAGCTTGTCCTTGTGTGGGTATTGTTGGTGGGTGATGCGTAGATGGGGGTTCTTTATACTGTTCTAGTTTTGTACACATTTAGAATGTTCCATAATAAAAATTCAAAAACAACGCATAAGAGAAAGATTCCTGTGGTTGAGAGACAACCAAAGCAAGGTGAGAACACATAGAAAGCCATTTGGGCCGGGCGCGGTGGCTCAAGCCTGTAATCCCAGCACTTTGGGAGGCCGAGGCGGGTGGATCACAAGGTCAAGAGATCGAGACCATCCTGGTCAACATGGTGAAACCCCGTCTCTACTAAAAATACAAAAAATTAGCTGGGCATGGTGGCGCGTGCCTGTAATCCCAGCTACTCAGGAGGCTGGGGCAGGAGAATTGCCTGAACCCAGGAGGCGGAGGTTGCGGTGAGCCGAGATCGCGCCATTGCACTCCAGCCTGGGTAACAAGAGCGAAACTCCGTCTCAAAAAAAAAAAAAAAAAAAAAAAAAAAAAAAAAAAAAAAAAAAAAAAGAAAGCCATTTGAAGGTCAATAAGGTGCAGCTAAGTGTTCTTAGGGTATCCTCCCAGACCACTTTGAAATACTACCTTGAAGTCTATCAGAGGATCAGTCCATTTTCCTTTTAATCCAGATTAAATTTATTGGCTAACAATGGTGGAAGTTCACACATGCCACAACAAGGATATCGTTTAAATATATCTATTATAATTAAAATTAGTAATCAGAACTAATAAGAGATGTGCCGAGAATTTGTGCTAAGTACTTTGTAGGTATAAAGTACTTGCTTTGGGTGGGCACGATGGCTCACGCCTGTAATCCCAGCATTTTGGGAGGCCGAGGCGGGTGGATCACTTGAGGTCAGGAATTCGAGAGCAGTCTGGCTAACATGGTGAAACCCCGTCTCTACTAAAAATACAAAAAATTAGCCGGGCGTGGTGGTGGGTGCCTATAGTCCCAGCTGCTTGGAAGGCTGAGGCAGGAGAATCGCTTGAACCAGGGAAGCAGAGGTTGCAGTGAGCCGAAATCGCGCCGCTGCACTCCAGCCTGGGCAACAGAGCAAGAACTCCGTCTAAATAAATAAATAAAAGTACTTGCTTTAATGTTACCTTATTAAGCAAAAACTGTCCATTTTAAATATTATTTTGCTAGTTCCATAGTCTTTTTCTAGAACTATATTTAAAATTCTTAAACAAGTACTCTAAGCAAAATCAACTCACTAAAATAATGTGTTTGGCTTTAACTGCTTTCAATAAGGTTAGTTCTGTTTTTCCTCTTTTCGTCTTATTGTCTAACTGAAACTTTGTACCCTTTAGCCAACATCTCTCCATTACCTTAGCCCCTCTCTCCACAAGCCCCTGGTAACACTATTCTCTCTTCTTTGCTTCTCTGAGTTTGACTTTTTTATATTCCACACATAAGTGAGATCATGTAGTATTTGTCTTTCTGTGCCTGGCTTATTCATTTAGCATAATGCCCTCCAAGTTAAAACATATTGTTGCAAATGATAGAATGTATATCCTTTTAAATGGTCAACTCTAATAATTGTTCTAGTAATTTACTTGATTTTTTGTGTTTCCAGGTACATTCCTTCATTTTTTCTTAACCGTGTGTGTGTGTGTGTGTGTTTAGAAAGGGTCTCACCGTGTGTGTGTGTGTGTGTGTGTGTGTGTGTGTTTAGAAAGGGTCTCACCGTGTGTGTGTGTGTGTGTGTGTGTGTGTGTGTGTGTGTGTGTGTGTGTGTTTAGAAAGGGTCTCACTGTTGTCCAGGCTGGGGTGCAATGGCGTGGTCATAACTCACTGCAACCTTCACCTCCCAGGCTCAAGCGATACTTCCACTTCAGCCTCCTGAGTAGCTAAGACTACAGACACACACCACCACACCTGGCTAATTTTTGTATTTTTTGTAGAGACGGGGTTTTGCCATGTTGCGCAGGCTGCTCTCAAACTACTAGGCTCAAGTGATTGCTCGCCTTCATCTCCCAAAGTGCTGGGATTACAGGTGTGAGCCACTGTGTCCAGCCCCCATCAATATATGCTAACACTCGGCAGTTAGTTCATTGGGCTTCTATGTATTACCACTGTTATTAATCTAATAATTTAAATATTTAACTGAATGCTGTTCTTGCTTTGAATATATTAGCACACTACAAAGGTAAAAAAATACAACCAACTCGTTGTGGGTCAAAAGAATCAATGATTTTGCATTTTATTAAGCATGTGGTACCATATATGCCAGGCATACACACACAAATGTAAATAAGGTCGAAGGAGGCCGGGCTCGGTGGCTCAAGCCTAGAATCCCAGCACTTTGGGAGGCCGAGGTCAGGGCGGATCACTTGAGGTCAGGAATTCGAGAGCAGTGTGGCCAACATAGTGAAGTCTGGTCTCTACTAAAAATACAAAACATTAGCTGGGCATGGTGATGCATGCCTGTAGTTCCAGCTACTTGGGAGGCTGAGGCAGAGAATCGCTTAAATCCCAGAGGTGGAAATTGCAGTGAGCTGAGATCATACCACTGCTCTCCAGCCTGGGTGACAGAGTGAGACTCCATCTCAAATATATATATATATAAGGTTGAAAGAAATAAACGAATTGAAGCATTATTGCAAATATGAGACTTTTTTTTCTTGTCTTTTTAAAAAATAAGTAGACAGGGTCTCACTTTGTTGCCAACGCTGGTCTCAAGCTCCTGGCCTCAAGTGATCCTCCTGCCTCAGCCTCTGAAAGTGCTGGGATTAGCCAACATGCTTAGCCAAGAGAATTCTTTCAAACTTACCAATAATATCACTATTAAATAGCTTTTATTTTGAGTATACATCCTAATGACTTTTTAACTTTGCACATCTTATTCTGTGTATACTTAGTAAATTACTATCTGTACTCACTAGTTAGACTTTGAACTTAGCTGTGACCTTATCTACTACATACATGGGCATTTTCTGTTGTTATTAACCCCTGGGACTTAAGTTGCCTTAGAAATAGTAATCACGATTGCTATATGTATAAATGTTACCACTAATGTCTGTAGAAGTCTCTGCTAATTATTTGTGAACCCGGTGGAGTTCATTATGCTGGAAGTCACTATGTATTCCTTAAACCCTTCTGATTCTGCTCTATGGCCTCCTTTGTTGAGTATCTTGTTAAAAGAAATCAGAACCACTCTTTCCACATTCTTCAATCATCAAGTCATACCATGAACAGGGCTCCAAGAAGCAGAAAGTTTCTCTACGTAGCACTTCAAGAAAATTAGGGAGGAAAAAAAAAAAAGAGAAAAATACAATGTGTTGTCCCAGAAGGTAGTATGCAAGTTCCCAAATGACCTCTAGGCATTTTCGTTCAGGGTCCATCTTTTATCCTTTATCATGTCACTCTTCCATTTTCCTATTAAAGAATAATTTTTGTATCTTTCTATGTGACTGTGGTAAAAATAATATTCCCCTTCTCCAAAAGTCAATGGTCAGTTGAATATATAAAGGTTGTTGGTGATGAAACTTCAGGTCTTACATTTTCGTGGTTTTTAAAATATAGACAGAGTCTCACTCTTGCTGAGACTGGAGTGCAGTAGCATGATCATGACTCACTGCAACCTCAACTTCCTGGGCTTAAGTGATCCTCCTGCATCAGGGCCCTGAATAACTGGGACTACAGGCACACACCACCACACCCAGCTAATTTTTAAAATTTTTGTAGAGACAGAGCCTCACTGTTACACATGCTGATCTTAAACTCCTGAACTCAAGTGATTTCTCCCACCTCGGCCTCCCAACATGCTGGGATTACAGATGTGAGCCACCATGCCCAGCCTTGTTTTTTTTAATGTGAGCAAAGGTAAGAGAAATCTGGTGGTGGTCTTAAGGTACACATGTGGTTTGTGCACTGTGAAGCTGTTGAAAGGAGTGGATGATGATGAAATGCATGCAGTTGAGCTAGGCTCAATGGAAAATCATGTTGAGGAACAGATGGAGTTTTGAAGTGCTAAGAGCATGATTTAATAAAACTGGGGTCGGTCATAAAATTGCTAGAATGTAGGCTGATTTCTTCCAGAATTTAAAGGCTCTTGCCAAAAGAGCAAGAACAGAAAGAGATCAGCTTGAATACCAGAGCTGCACCTTTGGATAAGCTCTGGGGAAAGGATAGGTTTTCAGGAAAAAACAAAAAAGGATCTGGGATCATTTACTCTCTCATTTAACAATTATTTATTAGCATATACATATATATTAGCATATACATATATATGTATATGCTAATGTATATGTATATATGTGTGTGTATATATACATATATATGTGTGTATATATATGTATATGTATATATACATATATATGTATGTGCTAATAAATGTTAAAATGTATATATGTATATACATTTTTTTTTTGAGATGGAGTCCAGCTCTGTTGCCCAGGCTGGAGTGCAATGGTGCAATCTCGGCTCACTGCAACCTCCACCTCCAAGGTTCAAGAGATTCTTCTGCCTCAGCCTCCCGAATAACTGGGATTATAGGCCCATGCCACCATGCCCGGCAAATTTTTTTTGTATTTTTAGCAGAGATAAGGTTTTGCCATGTTAGCCAGGCTAGTCTCGAACTCCTGACTGCAAGTGATCCGCCTGCCTCAGCCTTCCAAAGTGCTGGGATTATAGGCATGAGCCACCATGCCTACTCTATTAGTGTATCTACTGGATATCAAGATGACTAAGAAATAGCACTTGCCCTGAAGGAGTTTTTCTATTTGAGGAAAAAGACGTGTATAAATAACCGCAAACAGAATAAAACAAGTGTTATATAGATCTACATACAGTGACATGCCATGGGAATGCTGAAAACTGAGCACAGTTTCAACTAGTGGATTGGCACAGGGAACATGAGAAATAAGCATATTTTCAATATGACAAGAATGAATGGGCGTTTCTGGATATAGGAACAAGAGAAAAGTCATGGGTATATGGAAGGGCATGGACTCTTGAGGGAAGAGCAAGTAGTCTAATGTAGATACTATATAGGAATCTGGGGGCAAAAGGACAGATTGGTGGAGACAGGCTGGAAATATGGTTATGGGATACATCATGATTGATCTATAAGCATTAGAAGTTTTGATTTATTCTTTAGGGATAAGAAACATTTATGACTTTTGAGAAGGAAAATTACACAAGGGAGAAGAAAATTGCACACTCAAAACTCAAAGGAGGTGGTAAAGGAAGGATTTTTATTTTTTTATTTTTGGAGAGATGAGATCTCACTATGTTGCCCAGGCAACTACAGCAATCCTCCTGCCTTTGCCTCAGAAACTTCCGGGATTATAGGCATGAGCCACTACACCCAGCCAGGATTATGTTTTTTATGGGGAGATGAGAATATTGGTAGGTGGGCAGAGGATAAATGAGAGAGACTATGGGTATGTGAGATTGAATATATAATAAAATAAATTGATAGGACAAGCCCTGCATTATTCCTCTACTCCATTTTATGAGGAAAATATATATATTAGAAGCACTCTAGTGTATATTTGCTGTTCTAGCTGTGGAAGCCATCTGAAAACTCATTTGAAAGTGCTTTAAAACAGGGGTCAACAAACCTTTTCTATAAAGGGCCAGAGTATGTTTAGCTCTGTGGGCCGCAGATGGTCTGTGCTGCGTATGCTGCTACTTCTCTACCTCCCTCCTCCTCCTCCCTTCCTCTTCCTTCTTTTTCTTCTGTCTCTTCTTCTTTTTATTTAAAAGTATGAATTCATTCTCAGTTCCTGGGCCACACAAAAACAGGTTGTAGGCCAGATTTGAACTCTAGGCCTTTGCTGACCCTGTATTTTAGAAGTTAGCTTTCCTGACAAAGCATCTGGGTCTCTCAGTGAAGTAAGAAATAGGTCTTTCTTGGGGAACAGAAAGCTGAAATAATTTCATGGATTTGAATATGACCCTTGACCCATTTTTGTCCATCATCACTCAGATTTGTGGCTGCAACTGCCAACCATTTGGTGCCATAGGACATGGCATGATTTTTCAACAATAGTTCCTCAGCTTTTCTTTCTGTTTTTTCCTTCTTTCAATTGTGGTGGTTTAAAAACATGTCTGCAAAATCTTGAACACTTTTTTCTGGTAAAAATATAGGGTCTGTGTTCCCTTTTCTTGAACTTAACTGGCCTTTGTGCTGCCTCAACAAATAGGATATGACGGAAATGACACTATGCGACTTTTGAGACAGAGTCATAAAAGGTGATACAACTTCCCCATCCCATCCCCCTACATTTTAGAGCTCTGCTCTGAGTTGCCGTGTAAGAATAGCTACCCTGAAGGTACCTTGCTGAAAAGACCACAGGGAAATCACATAGAGTTAGAAAGAGGTGCCTGAGGAAGCCCAGCTGTTTCTAGTCCCAGCTATTTAACTCTTCCCAGACCAGGTGCCATATATGAGTGAGCAAGCCTTCAGATGATTCCAGCGCTAGCCACCATCTAGGTGGAAGCTCATGAGACACCTTCAACAAGAACCATCTAGATGAGCTTAGTCAAGCCCCAGAATCATGAAAGATAATAATAAAATTGTTTTAAGTCAATGGTTTGGGTGATTTGTTACGTACCAATGGATTACCCAACTGATTTTAGGATCTGGAAATGAAGTATTACAATAACAAAACCTAAAACATATGACAGTGACTTTGGAACTTAACTGCAGGCATAAGTTGGAAAGACCTTCAAGCGATTAGTAGCAGAAGCCTGATGGTCTTTGACGTTATCAGTAATTGCTTAAAGGAAAGTGAGGGAAAAGTTAGTGAAAGCTGGAGGAAAACTTCTTGTTAGCAAAACTGTTACCTGTAATAATGTGGAGAATAGAAAATATTCTCCGTGAGCTGATGGATCAGCCTGAAGAGTTTATAGGCTAAAGGTTGAAAATTTCAACTGGTTTCTTTTAGTTGTGTATTATAAAATACAGATAAAGAGAGATGAAGTGTAGAAGAAATTTCTTAGTTTTGAGGCAAAATTTGGAGGAAATACAAAGAAGCTAGGACTTGCTGGTTTAGAAAATAAAACTTTTTTCTGATTATTCGTTTCTTGTAGCAGAATATTTCCAAGGAAGTAAAGGTCCTCCGGACAAAAGTTAAATCCATGGCCCTGTCACAAAAACTTATCAAGGTAAAAAGGAAGCTAAGGATTTGACTATAAAATTATTTATTAAGACCTCAGAAAGATTTAAAATGATGCCTTCTGAATTCTTGCAAAAAGACAAAAGTCTTAAGCTTAAAGAGCTTCTCTGTTAAACAATAGGGATTCTAAGAAACTTAAGGGCATTGATCTACAGCAGCTTTAAAGGGAGCCCCAGGTAGATGATATCGGTGGATGTGGCTTTTCTAATAGAAGTAAATGTCAGTAAGATTCCTATAGGAAACTCATAAAGCTTTTAGGAAAATTGCACTTACAGAAATACCACAAGCTTAGACTATGAGGAACAAAGATGGTTTCAAAGTGAAAACAGGCCTTTGGACCCTGGAACTTTTACAGACAGGAAGCAGGCTTATCAAACTAAACTTGAAATTTTGGCTCTGTTTTATGGAATAGGAACTCTGAGGGTAGAATTCAGAGCCCAGAAGATTAGAGCCAAGAGCTGAGAAGAATCATTCCAGACAGAATTGAACCTTGACTAAAGAATTGGAAAAAAAAAAAGAAAAAAAGGAAAAAAAAAAGGCCGGGGATGGTGGCTCATGCCCGTAATCCAAGCACTTTGGAGGCCAACGCAGGTGGATCACCTGAGGTCGGGAGTTCAAGACCAGCCTGACCAACATGGTGAAACCCCGTCTTTAAAAAAAAAAAAAAAAAAGAATTGGCAACATGGTCTTAGTGGACTTACTGCAGAGGTCGCCACATGCCTCTTTTTTCTCTCTTTGTGAATGGGATTATTTATAATTGTTATCCTTTACCTACTCCACCATGTATACTTACTGCGAGGGAGAGATAATTCATCTCACTAGCTGACATATTTTCAGACTTCAAGGAATGCCACTTGAGCTGTACTCACAGGACCACACACAAGGATCTTTATCCACATG